TGATTGTTAAGCCATGGCCCAAAGTGCCAGATAAAATGAACCATTCTAATAGTAGCTACCAAGAATACTGTGCAAAGATTTCCCAAGTTATACAAAGGTGAGGCAGGGGAACAGACATACCCAGTGATCTCCAACCTATAAGCTTCTTTTTCTCAGCTATCAGCCTAGGGGAAGAACAGCTGCACTGTGGATGCCCCTACTTGAGAACCAAGGTCGTTCTCTACGTGGGCTTCTTGTAGAGTATGTTCAGCTTCTTTGTAGTAGGACTCCTTGCAAGGCAAATGGACTTATCTTACCTTCCTGTGATGAATTTAAAATGACCCCAATTTCTTTGCTGCACATTTCCTTAGCAGGTATAGCCTATGTCCTCTCCTCCCAAATCTGAGCTAATTTTGTTATTTGCTTGGACCAACAGAATGTGACACAAGTGGTGCGGTTCTGGTTTCGGTTGCAGGCTCATGTCTCAGGAAGGTTGGTGTTCTCTGTTTTGCCCCTTACAAGGGACAGACACCGAGAGAAACAGCAAGTGAACCATCTTAACATAAGGGAGTCTACAGCGATGGAGGCAGGGGGCTAGTGAGGAACAGGACTGCTGGTACCTGTGCCACAGTTCTGTGTGTACCACCCTGAGTGGTACTGGCTAGAAATATCCAACACGACTGCAGGCTATACCCACTCCCATCGTGTGCCAGATACCATGACACTTCTGAGATTTTCCAAAAAGTGGCACGGAAATGGGTGTTCTCAAGCCCCACCCCCAACCTCATCTCCTTTGGATATTCAGTTCTGGCCAAGTCACCGGTCCTTTTCCGATTAAAGGAGGACATTGTTAACTCCATGAGGCTGCATACACTCACTCCTGCGTGTGCAATCCCCTTTGCCTTTAAATAAATCTTGCTTTCTTGCTCACCTTCATGTCTTCTTGGAATTTTTTCTGGCTTGGAGATAAGATCCTGGACCAAGCCTAGCCAGGGGCCTCCCCCACAATGATAGGGACATTTTACAGTTCCCAGATGAATGCAAGTCACCTGAGGATCACCAGTTACATCACCGTGAGATCGAGCTAGGCCCGCTCAGATCTGCCCGAATTGCACGACCATGAGCAAATGTGTTGTAAGCCACTAAGTTTTAGGGTGTTTTGTTACAAAACAGGTAGCAGATACACTCAACCTGAGGCATTCCCGATCCTTGCACCAAATAAATTTTTCATTTCCCATTGGACTAGAGTTTAGTAAAACACAGCACAGAAGCTGGACTTTGCGATCATGTGTAAACTCTGACTTCTCAATAATGCTATCCTGAGTAGTTTTTTGCACAAACTTGAGTGCCTTTGTGGTTTATAGATGTTTTGGTATTTGGTTGTCTCCTGAGGGCACAAGGAAACACACATTTGTCTAGCACCGAGGCATGAATCACACATTACTGAAGGCCTTGGGAAGCACTGAAGCCTGTCTGATAGAACTTCTGCCCACACAAGACCAGAAGTTAATGTGTTTTTAAAACATACAAATCCTTAGCCACCCTTTCTTTCAACAGTAGAACCCAGTTTACCTCAAATCAGGCTGTATGTAGTGAGTCTTGCTTCTAATAAATAGAATGTGGCAGAAGTGACAGAATATAAGTTGAGACTAGGTTAAAAAAAAAAAAAAAAAAGAAACAGCACGGTGGCTACTTTCGGCTCTCCCTGGGATCGTTTGCTCTGGGGAAATCTACCTCATCATGGAGACATTCAAGCAGCCCTAAGGAGCAGGGCTGGGGGTGGAGGTGGGTAGTGGAGCAAGGACATGAGGTTTTTTTCCCAGGTTACTGTGTGCTAACAGCCTCGAAGGTCATCTTAGCAGCAGATCGTCCAGTCCAGTCAAGCCTTCACATGACTGCTACCACAAGAGACAGGGCTACAAATGCCGGACAAATCTGCTGCCGACAGCCTGACACACAGAGCTGAGATAATGTGTGACGTTAAACCACTATATTTTGGAGTTTCAAAGCAATAGATAACTCTTTCTCTGCAGTAAATAATAAACCTTTGATGGACTATGTGGCTAACTGATGTTCTAGGAACCCAGGTACTCTCTGAGCAAAAATACGAATAGCACGGTAGTCAAAAGAGCAACTCAATGAAAGGCATTCTTCATTCCTTTTTAGACAGGCTAGAAAACAGTGGATGGGAGACTTGTCCTGTCTCTTCCAATTCACTTGGCAAACATTTTTCTTACACAAAGCTTCCTGAGAATCTAAAGAACAGAACCCCCATGATAACATGTCTGGAGTGTCTCATACTAACAGATAAATTCCCAGCTATGTGAGAGACAGGGCATCCCTCAACTGTGAGATTAGAAGTGTTTTTAAAATTATGTTTTACATTTATTTTATTTGAAAGGCAGAGCTACAGTGAGAGGGAGACACAGAGAGGAGAGAGATCTTACATCTGCTGCTTTACTCCCCAAATGGCTACAACAACCAGAGCTGGGCCAGGCCAAAGCCAGTAGCTTCTTCCAGGTCTCCTATGTAGGTGCAGGGGCTCAAACAATTGGGCCATCTTCCACTGCTTTCCCAGGCGCATTAGCAGGAAGCTCAATCAGAAGCAGAGCAGCCAGGTTTCAAACTGGCACCCATATGAAATGCTGGAGCTGCAGGCAGCCGCTTAATCTGCTGCACCACAGCACTGGGCCCTCAAAATGTGTTTTGAGTTGTGCCCCCAGCCATACAGGCAATGGCAGAAAAAAATTCTCACTTTCCAGAGCAAAATATATCGATAACAATCTGAAGTTAACATTTTCCAAAGGTTCTCCCCTCCCCTTATTGAATACCACAATTCAAAGTAAAGCTGACTGAACAGAACCCACAATAGAAAATTAATATTTAATTAATCTAATCCATTTTCTAGTGATAGTAGAAGAATCATATATGTAATTTTTGGGGGCTAAACAGAAGATTCCAGAAACCCACACCTTCCAAGCGCTCTCTCATTGATTGCCATTAACCTAAGGTAAGCCTAGAAGAAGCTAAAATGCAACATAGGCAGCTTAGTAATGTGTATTAACTCTCACAGGGCACCAATCCCCTGCCTAACAGTTTGGTGGAGAGAAAAATCCTGAGGAAAAAAAATTTAATTTTAGGTCAGGGAGATCTTGTGCTAATTCTGATTTACTGGCAGCAGGTGCCTAAACCACAGCCTTGAATAACATTAATGGGCAACTTTTTTTTTTTCTTTTTATTAAGAAAAAAGCCGGCCGGCGCCGCGGCTCACTAGGCTAATCCTCCGCCTTGCGGCGCCGGCACACCGGGTTCTAGTCCCGGTCGGGGCGCCGGATTCTGTCCCGGTTGCCCCTCTTCCAGGCCAGCCCTCTGCTGTGGCCAGGGAGTGCAGTGGAGGATGGCCCAGGTGCTTGGGCCCTGCACCCCATGGGAGACCAGGAAAAGCACCTGGCTCCTGGCTCCTGCCATCGGATCAGCGCGGTGCGCCGGCCGCAGCGCGCCGGCCGCGGCGGCCATTGGAGGGTGAACCAACGGCAAAGGAAGACCTTTCTCTCTGTCTCTCTCTCTCTCACTGTCCACTCTGCCTGTCCAAAAAAAAAAAAAAAAGCCTGCAAGTCAAAGGGGAAGAAAGCACATGTGCTGGGAACCTTCCAACCCATCAGATAAAGAATGAAGAGGACTATTCCTTCTTATCTAGTCATCAGTTGGCTGGACTCAAAGAAACAGAAATGTTAACAGCAAAAACTGATCTATGGTTTAGCATCTTGCTAAGCTACCATTTTCTTTTTTTTCTTTTTGACAGGCAGAGTGGACAGTCAGAGAGAGAGAAAGGTCTTCCTTTTGCCGTTGGTTCACCCTCCAATGGCCACCACGGCTGGCGTGCTGCGGCCAGCGCACCGCGCTGATCTGAAGGCAGGAGCCAGGTGCTTCTCCTGGTCTCCCATGGGGTGCAGGGCCCAAGTACTCGGGCCATCCTCCACTGCACTCCCGGGCCACAGCAGAGGGCTGGCCTGGAAGAGGGGCAACTGGGACAGAATCCGGCGCCCTGACCGGGACTAGAACCTGGTGTGCTGGCGCCGCAAGGTGGAGGATTAGCCTATTGAGTCGCGGCGCCAGCCCTAAGCTACCATTTTCAAAAGTGGAACTATCTGGTGGTAGAGTGAGATGGAATGAGCATAGAAAAAAGTTACATTCTTAAGTATGTATCATGAACACAGCCCTTTATACTCATTATCTCATTTCATCTTGGCAAAATAACCCTAAAAAAGTAAGTTTCCATTCTGTTTTGTAGATGAGAAAAGGTAAGTGTCCATTGTTTTGTAGATGAGAAAGTTGACTCAGAGAGCTTAAGCTGTACAATTTTTTTTTTTTTTTTTTTTTGACAGGCAGAGTGGACAGTGAGAGAGAGAGACAGAGAGAGAAAGGTCTTCCTTTGCCGTTGGTTCACCCTCCAATGGCCGCCGCTGCAGCCGGCGCACCGCGCTGATCCTGGCAGGAAGCTGTACAATTTTAAAACCCAAATCTGACCCTGAACTCTATATTCACACCAGTATTCTTAAATACCGCATGTGGCCTGTGATGGGTAGAGAAGGGAAAAGAAACTGTCCCCAGCAGGCCCAATGACAAAGTATAGTTGGCAACATTTATCTCCCTTAGTGAGAATTTTTTTTAAATAATTCTTAATTCAAGAAAGCAACTGAAATCTATGACTGAGAAAAGATAATTCACCCTTGATATATCCAACATCATGACACATGAAGTCTTTAATAAACAGTAGCATTTACTGTTCCCAGAGGTTTTGGAAGTTAGACGTTAGGATGCATTCTCTACAGATTTAAATTATTACCATTCACAAAACACTAAAAATGAAATGTCCACAAGATTTTATATTTTAATTTCAGTGTTTCAACTAGTTACAAATAACGATTTTGAAAACAGACTAGTTTTTCCCTATCTCAGTTGTTACGGCTCAAATGTTGAAGTGTGCTAGCAACTAAAATAAAGTCACCAAAGTAAGAAAAGAGTTTCAAATATCAGTTTATCACTTGGATATTAACAACAATAAAAATAAGAATTTGCTGACAAAATAATTTTAGTTTTGAAGTATTTGGACAACTGTCACTGAAATGTTCACTATGACATAAGATGCAGTAGCAGATGGAAGACAGCAAAACAAACACAAAAACTTAAAAGTTCAAAATCATTTTCTTCCTTACTTGGTTCATTTCTAATCACCATTTTCTATCACCATTTTCTATAGCTTACCGGTAAGCTCCTGCATTAACAATTCAGCTTTGTGCCACAAATACTTACATTAATTTTAAAGTAACAATGCTTTACCTACATTAAAAAAAAATCAGTAGTAATTATAAGGCAGATCAACAGGTAGTCGTGCATCTAAATCTGAAGTAATATTAAAAAATAGAAAAATCTATCTGTGCTGTTCCTGTGTTTGGGAGAATATCCAGAGGACTCCATGGTATGGAATTTTCTCCAGCTTGCTTATCCTTCTTCAATCCTTTGGCCCAGAGCCAGGGTTTTCCAGTGGCAAAGTCTTACATCCATCATAGTCTAATGAAGGGAGATGGGCAACTTGTTCTTTTGCCCAGTAAGATGGCAGACATGAGTCACTTTCTCCCTTAATCTCCCAACCTTCTGCAACAGCAGCTTAATTATCAAGTATACTTTAAAAAGTTATTTCATAACCAAAATTTTTAACCATAATCCATCCTCCATTTGCGCACATACTATGTTGAAGCATGTTGATATTGACAATTACTACAGTGTAACATTTACTAATGTAAAAAAGTAGCCATAATTTAACGAATACAAACACCAAATTATGCAAATGTCAATTTAAATGAGATCACTTTCTATGAATTTCAAGTTAATATAAATTGTTTTATAAAAACTAATTATGAAACACAAAGACAATAGAAATATAAGTTATTTATTAATCAATCCACTTACAAAGCAGGTGGCTTAATGCAAGCTTATTGACATCTTCACATATGATCCATGGGAACATGTCTTCCACATACAGACAGTGATAGTACTGACTGGATGCATTTGCAATCTGGGGCATATTAAGCATATTTAAACAAATAAAATTAGACTATCCTGTATATGAAAGTATCTTGATAATATGTATCCTTAAGTGGATTAAAACTTCCTCCAAAGGAGAAATGTTAGTATGTTAACTTAACTTTATATTCTATATTATGCAGTAAATCTTAACTATAGAAATTAAAAATTTTAAATCAGTGATCGACTCTTGGTAATGTATGAAGTGGGAGTATATAACCATAGCAACAGTAGGTTGACAGTATAATTTGTGCCTCACAGTTTCTGCAGATTTATTGTTTTCAAGTTTAGAGAGAAATAAAACAAGAGACATGTAGATTCAGCTGACTTTATTTATCTTGAGACTAATAAAAATCCCTTAAAAGTGATCCTGGGACCTTTAGAAGTTCTATGAATGCATAGATACCTGCTAATGACTGAAATTCTAAACCTTGACTAAATGTGTTTACAAAATCAACGTAAGCAGATATCTTCACTATTCATGCTTGGCAGAAGACTGAACAAAACTCTACATGTCTTTTTCAATTTCCCTAAAATTTGTTAAATCTGCAAGTATGTACAATCCAGGTAACTGAATTTAATATTTAGTGTTCATCAGAGCTGTTTCACAGCAGCAAAAATTCAATCAGGGAAAGAAAGTTCTAAATGATGTAGGAAAAAGATAAATACAATCAGAACAGCAGTCTAAATGTATGATATCAATATTCAACTCTATCTGCACTGTGCTGAGAGGAAAAGGATACACCAAGAAAATTTCTATTGATCACTCTGGTGATATGGATACCACCTGCATCTGATTGAATATGGGTTGTAGTCTGTTCCCAGTATTAAGGATGGTATTTAACCCAGAACTCCATATTGTAAATATACAGCAGCCATTTTGTCCTAATTAAGGAATGTCTTAATACACAATATTATCATTTTCTAGAGGATCTTTATACATTAAACTAAAGTACATGATTGATTAAATTAAAGGTTAGTAATGGATAAAAAAATTTCATAATTCTCAAGGCTTGGTACTATGTAAAAAACAAAGACCACAAAACTCTACTTACTAAAGCAGCTAATCTTGCCTGCAAGTTTAGGGTCACAAGCCCATAATATGTGCAAAGAAATGCAATACAAGGAACCATGCAAAAATACAGTAAAATGATACGGGAAAAATGTCAAATCTAGAAAAAAAAAAAGCTTTATAAATACATCAAAATCAACTGTATACATAAATTGTAGGGCTAGCATTAGTTGTACCATATAGCAGAGCCAGCACTCTAAGTTCAATGCTTTCATATCTGCGCAGGTAAGTCATGCCATCTTTGGTTGACTGCAGTACCAGGAAGGATGGGAACGCGAGGGAGGGCAAGAGTCCCGAAACATGGTGTCAACTTTCACTTGGCAGCTGGGCCTCAATGTCCACTCTGCATATGGGGCACTTCTTATTGGTAATCAGCCATTGGTCAACACACACTTGGTGGAAAAGGTGCATACATGGAAGGCGTCTAGCAATGGCAAAGAAAACAAAAAGCAAGTTAATTTTAAAAATGACAATTACCAGGCCATTTATTTGTAAAGAAGTTATGCATGAAATAATTCAGCACTGTTTTAAAGTTACTAGGCACTTTATCTTCTGGAGAAAAAAAACATCTCCCTTATGGGCAGTATAATATAGAAATGACTAAGATAATGAACTGTAATAGTAATGGAATGAAATTATATAACATCAACAATCGTAAGAACAAAAATTACGTTGGCAGCCATTCCGGTTTTGTCTATGTGCATGAGCTCTCAATGCTATGGAGCCGGCAGTATGTTCTCTATCACATAACACTGCATACATATTTCTAATACCAAATCACTGTATTTTTCAATATATTCTCTAATGTAATAATCTCTCAAAAAAATTAGAATTTATGTTGTAAATATATAGTAGCCATGTTGTTATAATTAAGGACATATTATTTTATATCCAGAAGATTTTGATATATTAAACTTTAATACATGACTGACTAAAAATCAATAATATTGTTTTCACAGGATAACTGTCATACCCACTTACTTCTGTGCTACCATTTTATTGGCAGGTCAAAAGGAGATGTTTACTTTAGGATACCATAAATATTATCAATAAGAAAGGGAGAAATAAAGCTTCCAGGAAGACAGAGTACCACTGAATTTCAGTATAAATGTGGGATAAAAGTAACTGACCCAATGTCCATTATTACTACTGTCCATTGTTGAAAGCACTTTGACTTCCTAATGTTTTGTAAAACTAGTAGCTAAAAAGAGGTATTCTAATTATTTCTTGAACAATATTAGTCAATATTGTAAAAGCAACTAACTTTCATATTTATAAATCTCCATTGAAAACACAGCACTCAAATTACTTTCTATGTGGTATGGTAGGCAATAATTTATAATTTTTGCCTTCTCAGTATAATTATAAAGTAGATCAACATTATTATCACATGGTTCTACAATATGTCATAGAACCTGCTTTAAGGCATTATGTGACATTGAAAAATCAGGAAATAGTAACAAAACACTAAGTGTACAGATAGAAAGAAAACCTAAAATTAATACTGGTTTAGCAAAATAACCTAACACTTTCTAAATTATAAAAGTCAAAGTAGAGAACAGTCCGACAAGCTGCGAGGAAATCTTAGAGCTAAATCAATTTTAGAAAGCCCTGTCAACCAAACTGCATCCAACCAGTCTAGATTCCTGTTTTTAAGCTTTGGGGAATACAGTAGTGTAATTCCCCAGATCTCCAAGTCTCTCAGATTCTTCTTTCTGAAAGATTTACAAAAGCTAGCCTTGGTGTGAGCTTAAAATAATCTTTTTATTCCTTCACTCACTGTAAAAAGCCTGTTCTACACATCAGAAGTTGATAACAGGTATGCCAGAAATAATCTTCATTTGGTTTCTAGTTTACTTTCAAATAAAGCCCTTGTCAAGTTTTGACAATGGATTTTAGTTAATTAATATCTAGTTACCTCACATCTTCACCTTCCTCTAAAATAGACAAACAGATAGTACATTTTTCCTCGGTGTCTTCCTCAGTCCCTTCTTCCCCATCTTGTTTGCAGTGCAGTTTCCTCTGTGAGAACCAATCAGTTGTTACCTTATTAGTAGAGATGACATTATTGAACAACTGAGTAAAGTCTGTGTTTATTTCAAAAACAAAACAAAAAACAAAACCATACCACACATCACCCCCAACTTATTTCCCAAGTAAGACTGTCATGAATTAATGGATGAATTAAATGATTATCAATTAAGATTCTTTTAAGACCCTCTACTACCCAGCATCAAAAGTAAAATCAAATTTAACAGAAATACATTAGTTTGAAATCTATTACTTTTAATCCTCAATGAAGATTCCAAATAATACAAATTCTATTTTTGTTCTATCATGAGCATAGTTAAATACATTTTATTTTACTAATTAATATTTCAATAATATCCATATAAATTAATGTTACAGTATTTAGACAGTTGAAAGAACTTAAATTTAGTTGCAACACTTCACTAATACTCTTATAAACAGATGAAAAATATAAAGAAGAGTCATTTTTACACCTTAATATTATTCTCTGTATAGCACAGAGCATCATTTAAGAAACTTATTTGACATGTCTACTCTTAACTTCCAAGGAAGGAAATATTAGAATTATAGAGCAACTAAATATCCATCAAGGTAAGTGATTACTTAAAAAAAAAAAAAATTACAGTATTGTCATGATGTAAACTATTAAGAAGAATGTAGCTGTGGCTTAGTAGGTAAAGCTGTGGCCTGCAGTGCCAGCATCCCATTAGGGGTGCCAGTCCAAGTCTTGGCTGCTCCACTTTGGATCCAGCCCCCTGCTACAGGCCTGGGAAAAACAGCAGAGGATGACCCAACTGCTTGTGTCACTGCTACCCTATGGGAGACCTGCAGAAGGCTCCTGGCTCATGGCTTCGGCCTCACCCAGACCCAGCTGTTGTAGCCATCTGGGGAGTTAACCAAGTGCCTGGACTATCTCTCTCTCTCCCTTTCTCTGTAACTCTTTCAAATAAGTAAATAAATCTTGAAAAAAAAATATATAGGTGAGCTGAGTACTGACAGAATACAAAGGCAACATACAAAACTATCTGCACATCATCCTCTTTGTATTATGTTTTAATGCAAAAGAAATATATGTGTGTGTGTGTGTGTACATTATAGAAGGCACAAAAATTCTGGAAGAAGAATTTATTTCTGTACTTCCAAGAAAATGTTAATCCTAAGTATATTTTGCTTCAGTAATAACAGAGAGTGCCAGCATTCCATATAGGAGCCGGTAAGTATCCTGACTGCTCCACTTCTGATCAAGCTCTCTGTTAATAGCTGGGAAAGCAGTGGAAGATGGCCCAAGTGCTTGAGCTGCTGCACCCATGTGGGAGACCTGGAAGAAGCTCCTGGCTCCTGGCATCAGATTGGTCCAGCTCTGGCTGTTGCAGCCATTTGAGGAGTGAAGCAGTGGATAGAAGACTGCTCTCTGTCTCTCTGTAACTCTGCCTCTCAAATAAATAAATCTTTAAAAATAAGTAAGTAAATAAATAACATATCTACTAGGTTCCACAAGTTCAACGGAAAGCCATAATACTGAACGTTACACATTTCAATAATATTCTAGAAGTTTCATGGAATAATTTCTTACCTTTTTATATTTATGGGGATATGTACATCTTTCAATTGTCCCCTGGGATGCTCCACGATTGACATTTCCTAATCTTTCTTCCAAATGAATCAGTTCCTGAAAGGGAAGGGTAACTACGATTAAAAGCCAGGACGATAATATTTTAAACAATGTTGTCAATACTGTACAGGAGTAATAATCTTACATTTGACAAGGTAACAGTTTGTTTACACAACAGTTCTTATATATGGTATAGCAAATGATGGTTTCAAAATTTTTTGCTCAGCCACCTGAAGTAGTTTCACAAAGTCATCCTTATAAATTTGGGTAACAATATAAGTATTACCACATGGTATTACAAAATCAGTAAGTTTGTACACATGTAGAAGAAATCATTCATTCTAGCAAATTAGGGAAGCAAATTAAACAATTTTCATAAATCATATCAACTGTAATTTCTAAACTAACATGAAGAAACAAGGACTTGAAATATTTAGCTACAAAGTAAATTATTTAAGCTATTTTTGTCTCCAGCAATGTTTCACTAAAAATTAAGCTCAGGCAAAGGCAAAGGTTTGGGGCTGGCTTTGTGGTGCAGCAGGTTGAGCCGCTGCCTACAATACTGGCACACTGTATGGGACCCAGTTCCAATGCTGGCTACTCCATGTCTGATGCACCTTCCTGCTAATATGCCTAGGAATGCAGTGGAAGTTGGCCCAAGTGCTTGAGCCCCTGCACCCATGTGGGAGCTCCTCGCTTTGGTCTGGTGCAGCCTTAGCCCTTGTGGTCATTTGGGGAGTGAACCACAGGATGGAAGATCTGTCTCTCTCTTTGTAATTCTGCAGATTTATTTATTTGAAAACACTCATGGGATGCTGGCACTGTAAGCAGAAGCTTTACCCAATATACCACAATGCCTGTCCCGAAATAAATAAATCATTAAAACCAGAAAAAAAAAAGCATCAAGGTTTTCCCCATACATTAAATTATATTGTTCACTATTTTTATACTGATTTAATATATCTTTATATTTAGATATTTTAATTTATTCTTTAAATACTTTTTAACCTAAGATTAATGTTTCCTATCAAATTTTCTATAACCCCAGAAGCAATATCAGAAAATGGTACATTTTACTGCTTCATGATTCCCAGTCATTGTATTAGTCCTACGTAATTATGAATACTAGCAACATATCTATATATATATTCTTCTGCACTGAAAATACTGTGATACATATCTTCACTTATTACATACCTCAAAATTGCCCCTGAAAGGACCTCTGAATGATGTTCCATCCAATCCTGATGAAATGTAACGGATATGAGGATAGCCTGCCATGTCAGGAACCTGTTTTAATAAAAAAAAAAAAAAAAAAAAGACAGACTAAATCAGTTAAGAACAGATGTGTAACTGACTATTAACACTGAATAATTCAAGATATTCATTGCTCTCCAAGTACTCAAAAATTCAATCAACCTTAGTAAATACACATAAGTACAACTAAGCATTCAGTAGTGGGGCTGGCACTGGTGTAGCAGGTAAAGCCACCACCTGCAGTGCCAGCATCCCATATGGGTACCAGTTCTAGTCCCAGGTGCTCCACTTCCAATCCAGCTCTCTGCTATGGCCTGGGAAGCAGTGGAAGATGAGGCAAGTCCTTGGGCCCCTGCACACGTGTGGGATACACAGAAGCTCCTGACTCCTGGCTTCAGACCAGCCCAGCTCCAGCTGTTGTGGCCATCTGGGGAGTGAACCAGTGGATGGAAGAGTGGATGGAAGACCCCTCTCCCTCTCTCTCTCCCCTCCCCTCTCTCCGTCCCTCCCTTCCTCCACCTCTATGTAACTCTGTCCCTCAAATAAATAAATCTCTAAAAAAAAAAACCTCTCATAACACTAACAATATGATCAGAATAGAAAAAAAAAACAGTTGTTTCATGAAATAAAGATTTCCTGATTTACATAAAGAATCCTATGTAGCAAACACTCTCACATAATCCTGATGCTCTTGGTACCTCAAACTTCAAGAGGAAAATTATATGACCTTATTATTATTTTTTTTTTTTGACAGGCAGAGTGGATAGTGAGAGAGAGACAGAGAGAAAGGTCTTCCTTTGCCGTTGGTTCACCCTCCAATGGCCGCCGCGGCTGGTGCACTACAGCCGGCGCACTGCGCTGATCCGACGGCAGGAGCCAGGTGCTTTTCCTGGTCTCCCATGGGGTGCAGAGTCCAAGCACTTGGGCCATCCTCCACTGCACTCCTGGGCCACAGCAGAGAGTGGGCCTGGAAGAGGGGCAACCGGGACAGAATCCGGTGCCCCGACCAGGACTAGAACCCGGTGTGCTGGCGCCGCTAGGTGGAGGATTAGCCTATTGAGCCACGGCACTGGCCCGTGATCTTATCAATAGATAAAAATGCACAGAATTTTCCAACAAAACTCAACCTCAAGATAATAGTCTTCGTGCCAGTGCTGCAGTTTAGAAAGCTAAGCCTCCACCTGCCGTGCAGACATGCCACATGGGCGCCAGTTCAAGTCCCAGCTGCTCATTTCCGACCAGCTCCCTGATAATGCAGCTGGGAAGGCAGAAGAAGATGGTCCAAGTGCTTGGGCCCCTGCACCCACGTGGGAGACCCAGAAGAAGCTTTCAGCTTCTGGAGGAGCCCCAGCCATTGAGGCCATTTGGGGAGTGAACCAAAGAATGGAAGATATCTCTCTTTCTCCCTGTATCTCTGCCTTTGAAATAAGTAAATAAATCTTAAAAAAAAAAAAAAAAAAAAAAAAAGGCCGGCGCCGCGGCTCACTAGGCTAATCCTCCGCCTAGCGGCGCCGGCACACCGGGTTCTAGTCCCGGTCGGGGCGCCGGATTCTGTCCCAGTTGCCCCTCTTCCAGGCCAGCTCTCTGCTGTGGCCAGGGAGTGCAGTGGAGGATGGCCCAGGTGCTTGGGCCCTGCACCCCATGGGAGACCAGGAAAAGCACCTGGCTCCTGGCTCCTGCCATCGGATCAGCGCGGTGCACCGGCCGCAGCGCGCCGGCCGTGGCGGCCATTGGAGGGTGAACCAAAGGCAAAGGAAGACCTTTCTGTCTCTCTCTCTCACTCTCTCTCACTGTCACTCTGCTGTCAAAAAAAAAAAAAAAAGAAGAGGTAAGAGTCTTACGTTCTTTCCTTTAGCTTCCTAACAACCAAAGGCATCCATCCCCCATTTTTTATTTGGCTCTGTTAGTGGGAATTTTATCAGTGTTTTCTAAGGTTTTGTTAGATACAGTCAATCCTCAATGGATGTGGGTTCCACATTTGTGAACCGGCCTGCAGGCTAAAATGTGCTGATTACCCTAAAATCAATTTTTGCTTTCAAAGTAATTCATGGACATGCACAGAGCAACCAAAAACTTCAGTTGATCAACATGTGTATTCTCAATTAAGACAGAACAAGGCACTGCCTTCTTGTTTCAGTTTACACTATAAAAAAAAAAATGTATCTTTTGTGGTCTACTTTGTGCCATGTTTTTCTGTGCTTTTAGTTGCTGACATCATTGTTTAAAACAGCCCTGAAGAATAAGTTTAACTACTGCCTAGTGGTGCTAAGCTAAGAAGGCAAGGTATTATGTACCTCATGGAGAAAATATGTAACAGTAAGTTTCATTCAGGTGTGTCTGATTAGCTATTACTTCACCATTAAGGACTGAACAATATACATTAAATATGTTACTGTTAAACAGAAACATACATAAAACAAAGCTATATACTTATCAACTGTTCCGATACAGTTTTGTAGTATTCTGTCCTGTATTGTCCCAAAGAGTAAAGGTTCCATATTTGCTAACACACTGTTCACAGCAAATGTACAGTACATAACCCCTGTGAATACTGATATGATAGTCAGCTGCATCAGGAATACAGATTCTGGTGTAAAGCATCACTCGTCCATCTTTATAAATAAATCTCCAACATTACTTTTTTTTTTTTTTTTTTTTTGACAGGCAGAGTGGACAGTGAGAGAGAGAGAGACAGAGAGAAAGGTCTTCCTTTGCCGTTGGTTCACCCTCCAATGGCCGCCGCGGCCGGCGCGCTGCGGCCGGCGCACTGCGCTGATCCGATGGCAGGAGCCAGGAGCCAGGTGCTTTTCCTGGTCTCCCATGGGGTGCAGGACCCAAGCACCTGGGCCATCCTCCACTGCACTCCCTGGCCACAGCAGAGGGCTGGCCTGGAAGAGGGGCAACCGGGACAGAATCCGGCGCCCCGACCGGGACTGGAACCCGGTGTGCCGGCGCCGCTAGGCGGAGGATTAGCCTAGTGAGCCGCGGCGCCGGCCCTCCAACATTACTTCTTAATCAACCTCCACAGAATCATAACATAGACCCACCCACAGCAGGCTTTTTAGTTTTTTTTTTTTTAAATATACTTTTTTAAGATTTATTTATTTATTTGAAAGGCAGAGGCAGAGAGAGAGAGAAAGAGAGACAGAGAGGTCTTCCATCTGCTGGTTCACTCTCCAAATGGCTGCTGCAACGACACTGGTGTAGGGGCCACCTTCAACTGCTTTCCCAGGCCACAGCAGAGAGCTGGATCAGAAGTGAACAGCAGAGTCTCGAACTGGCACCCATATTGGATGCTGGCACCACAGGCGGTGGCTTTACCTGCTACACCACAATGCCGGCCCCTAGTTGATGGTTTTTTGTTGTTATTGTTTTAAGATTTATTTTATTTATTTAAAATCAGAGTAAAGGAGAGAGGGGAGAGAGAGAGAGAGAATCTTTAAACCACTGATTCACTCCCCAAATGGCTGCAGTGGTAAGGGCTGTGCCAAGCTGAAGCCAGGAGCTTCTTCCAGGTCTCCTATGTGGGTGTAGGGGCCCAAGCACATGGGTCATTTTCTGCTACTTTCCTAGGTGCATTAACAGGGAGCTGGATCAGAAGTGGAGCAGCTGAGACTTGAACTGGCACCCACATGGGATGCCAGTGTTGCAGGTGGCAGCTTTGCCTGCTATGCCATAGTGCCAGTCCTAGATTTCTTAGTTTTAAGAGATGACTCATGGGGCTGGCACCATGGCACAGAAGGTTAACCCTCTGCCTGCAATGTTAGCATTACATATGGGTGTCTGCTCGAGTCCTGGCTGCTCTACTTCTGATCCTGCTTACTTCTAATGTGCTTACAAAAATAGCAGAAGGTAGTCCAAGTACTTGTGCCCTTGCATCCATGTGTGACACCTGGAAGAAGCTCCTGACTTTGGCCTGGCCCAGGTGTAGCCATTGGAGCCATTTGAGGAGTAAACCAGCAGATGGAGATTTCTCTCTCTGTATCTTTGCCTTTCAAATAAATAAATCTTTTAAAAAAGAGTGATTCATATGTGGAAAAGAATTCAAAAGTAAGTAAGCAGTAACTTTTATTACATAAACTATCTGCAACTTTCATTATACTAACATCAATACTACTTCACAGCATCAAGAAGTTCAGAAATGGCTGGAAGTACCCAAACTTTCACTTACCCTGAAACTCTCTCCCTAGGCTCCCCTTCCTCTAGCTTTTATGGTTGAGCTTCTCCTTTCTGACAGAAACTTAATCCTTAGCCCTTGCTTCTCATCTTCTCCAGTTTTCCCCATCTAGTTTCATCCTTCCTTACCTAATTCCCATCCTTCTCTTCAGTATCTTTAAGTAAGTCCTCTCTAATGGTTTTCTGTCTTAAATCTAAAAGGTGAAGCTTCTCCAAACCTAAATTCTCTCTTTGATTCCTGAAATTATTGCCAATCCTATTTCCAACTTTCCTTTCACAGCCAAGCTTATAAGTAGTCTATATTCACTGTCTCCACATTTCACCTTTACTATAAACTAAGTGCCCCATCTCCATCTCTCATCATTACTGACAGTAATCAGTCTCACCAAACCATCAATAACTCTTTTTTTGTTGTTTGTTTTTGACAGGCAGAGTGGACAGTGAGAGAGAGAGAGAGACAGACAGAGAGAAAGGTCTTCCTTTTGCCGTTGGTTCACCCTCCAATGGCCGCCGCGGCCGGCGCACCACGCTGATCCCAAGGCAGGAGCCAGGTGCTTCTCCTGGTCTCCCATGCAGGTGCAGGGCCCAAGTACTTGGGCCATCCTCCACTGCACTCCCGGGCCACAGCAGAGAGCTGGCCTGGAAGAGGGGCAACTGAGACAGAATCCGGCGCCCCGACTGGGACTAGAACCTGGTGTGCCGGCGCCGCAAGGCGGAGGATTAGCCTGTTGAGCCGCGGCACCAGCTCACTAATTCTTTCAAAATGAGTGTATTCCACATTTCTCAAACTTCACCTTTATGTGATGAGAAGACTACAGATCATATTACTTTGACATGTTTGAAGTACAACACTATCATTTAAATACAGGATTGTCATTTTCCAATATTTTTAACTCTGGCATTTGATAAATTTTTTCCTGAGAATCTAATCTTCTCCCACAGATTCAATAGCACTATATAGTAATAGATAACCCAGATATCTCTGGAGGTTCAGACCATAAATTTAACTTTCTACTGGGAATTCAACCTTCATACAGTTATCTTAGATTCACTATGTCTAAAACTTAGCTCAGCTAACCCTTTCCTGAATCCTTCATCTAATATTCTCCAGTACAACAAATGTCACCACTCTATACCTTTTAACCATGCTAGAAACATAGGCATGATCCTACATACTACTCAAATGTGTCCCATCATTTTTATGCTAAGTGACATTGCCTTTGTTCAGGCATTCCCCAACATTTATCTTCTCTATTATAGTGTCTGAACAAGCTTCCTTTCTCTCACCCTTAAATCTACGGTCCATGTAAAGGGGGGGAGAGTTTCAGCCACAATATGATTAAATCACTCTAAAATCAAAAACATTAAGAAGGATGATTAGAAATTATCGTGATAGACCAAAAAATTGATTTTAAAAACATTTTGTACGTTGAAAGTACATTTTACTATGAAAACTATACAGATTTTAATATATCTGTATCTTTTCATAACACAATTTGCATCTAACAAGTTATTCTCAAATCCCATTAAAATAGGGAATAGCTAATGTATTAACCGAAAATGCTTTCAATAAAATATTTAGAAAAGGAAAACTACTTTTAGAAAGAGAATATGCCAGAATTTTGAAAATTTTCCATTTTACCATTAAAGGAAGTGCTCCTAATTGTAAGTGATGAAGTCGAGGAGGTGCGTGGTAATGGGCCAAGTGAGGATGCAATGCACCAGGTGTATAGGTAGCTGCAGTCACTCCAGCTTCAATTCCCAGTTCCCTGACAAGTAATAAAAACAGTTTAACTTTCAGGCCTCCTTACAGTGAATACTGATTAGAATCAAATATACTAGGGAAGGGAGATTCTGGAGTAAAGCATCATGCTTCCATCTTTATTAACAACAGAAATGGGGAATATAATGACATTTTCATCTAAGGTTTCTTAACATACAAAGCTGAGAAAAAGATAATTCAGCCCCAAAGATTTAACCAATAATTTTAAAATCTGAATACAAAGGTGGGGAGTGTATTAAGTTGTGAAAAGTAGACTCAGTTTAGGGAGTTAGCTTGGTGGCAAGCACCCCTGAAAAATGGGGGAAAAGCTCTACTCCTCTCACTTCCACATGGAATCTAGAGAAGAGTGTTGGTTATCAAAGGCTGGGGGTGGGGAATCAGGGGAAGGGAAGACTTCAGTCAGGTGGTACAAAGTTTCAGTTAGATAGGAGGAATATATCCTGGTGTTCTAGCATACAGGGTGGTAATCCCAGCCAACCATCAACATACTGTGCACTGCTCTATACATGGACTCAAATGTCATATTCTTCCCCATAAATACATATATAATTATTTGTCAAAAATAAAACCTTCTTTTGAGGAAAAAAAAGGCTCTACCCTTGCTTGCCATGGTTTGCTGACCTAGAACGCAGGTACCTATTCTGTCTTCTCCACCCCTACTCATCCAGAGGCAGCGCCTCACAGCTAAACAGAGGATTCTATTTCTCCACATCACCCTTCTGCTTGGCATTCCACTATGAAGAACCTCTTCCAGTAGTTTTAACAGAAGCTGCTGAGCATTGCTTTAAAATAAACAAGATACTGACCAGGCAGATCTCTCTGGAGCCTGTCGAGGATGTGAGGACATAGTCTGAGGCACATGAATATGATGCCCATGACCATAGTTTGGGTGCATTCTATGTGGATGGGGTGGGGGGCGTTCATGTGCCCGCCTGGAAACACAGAACACAAAAAGACCACTGGAAATAATTGAATAATTGGTTATTTCTTAATGCAGAAAAAAAATCTAGTATTACATTATAAGCATCTATAAATTGTGATAAAATTTATAAATTACAAAAATATAAGATTATATATAAATTAGTAATAAATCAAGAAATCATAACCTCATCCACAAATTTTAACTGCTCATTTATTCCAATGACTCCAATTCAAATATCATCCTAAGAAAAAATCAATTTTAACATTATCTTGTACACTTCTTTATAGCACAGAAATTTAAAACAAGATAATAATAGAAATGGAAAAGAAATAACTTTTAAAAAACACCCAACAAATTCTGTAGGCATAAACAAAGTATTTTATATAAACATATAGAGCATGAAAAGATGGGAACTATTTTACTTCAGTAACTCTTATTTTGTAAAATCATCTTAATTGGATGGAAACTGAGAAGAAAAAAATTTTAACCTTTTGGGCTGGTGGTGTGGCATAGCAAGCTAAGCCTCTGCCTGTAGCACTGGAATCCCATGGGCACCAGATCATATCCTGGATGCTCCACTTTCAATCCAGCTCTCTGTTATGGCCTGGGAAAGCAGTAGAAGATGACTCAAGTACTTGGGCCCCTGCACCTGCTTGGGAGACCAGGAAGAAGCTCCTGTGGCTCTGGATCAGCTCAGCTCTGGCCACTGCAGCCATCTGGGGAGTGAACAAGCAGATGAAAGACCTCTCTCTGTCTCTCCCTCTCTCTGTCTGTAACTCTACCTTTCAAATAAATATTTTTTAATGTTTTATATTTTTTCAAAATACAGGTAGTACATGTTATACTATTCAGGAAACCTAGTTAGCTACATTCACACTACATTCTGTATCCTGATTTACTGCATTTTCTCTTCCTAAAGTCAGCTGCATTTATAATTGCAAGTGGTCATAAAATTCTGAACAAAGAACACTACAAAAAGACTGACTCTTTCTTGGGCATGCAGATATCTCTGGAGTCCACTGAGGACATGAAGACATAGTCTGAAGCACGTGAATATGACCACAACCATACTTTGGGTGCATAATAGCTGCAATTTAATTTTTTTCTAGTTGTTTCTAACACATGCAGCTTTTGCATATCCACTCTTAATGACATTGAGTAATTTTCTAGCTACTACAGGATATGACTGTCACACTAGCAACTTTCTATCCAAAGAGTCACTATATGAAGGCATCAAAGATTCTGGATATAACCTTAAGTTATTGAACTAAAGGAAGAAGCTACACAAATGCTATATCATTAACTAGATCCAGAGTTAGGCAAACATTTAATGTGAAGGACAGAACAGTTAAGGTTTTTGATTCTACAGCACATTTAGTCTGTTACAACTACTCAATTTAGCCTTAGAATGAAAACAGTCACAGACTACATGGAAATGCACAAGTGTAGCCATTTCCCAAAAAAAACATTTTTCTTACAAAAATAGTCAAGCAGAATAAGATGAAGGGTTTGTTATTCTGAATTTAAAATTCAGATCCTAAGTTATCAAAAGCTCACTTATACTCTTTTCATACATTTTAGGGAATACAGTATTTTAATATTTAAGTATATAAAAAAATCAAGAAAAAATTTTCAATGTCAGATTGTAAAAATTCCATTAATACTTTTCTCTCCTTTGGATAGTATTATGTAATAAATCATATCAAATCTCTGATTAGTTTATTTTTTATTTTTATTTTTTTTGTCAGGCAGAGTGGACAGTGAGAGAGAGAGACAGAGAGAAAGGTCTTCCTTTTTACTGTTGGTTCACCCTCCAATGGCCGCCGCGCTGAGGCCGGCACATCGCGCTGATCCGAAGCCAGGAGCCAGGTGCTTCTCCTGGTCTCCCATGCAGGTGCAGGGCCCAAGCACTTGGGCCATCCTCCACTGCACTCCTGGGCCACAGCAGAGAGCTGGCCTGGAAGAGGGGCAACCAGAACAGAATCCAGCGCCCCGATCGGGACGAGAACCCGGGGTGCCAGTGCCACAGGCAGAGGATTAGCCTAGTGAGCCGCGGTGACGGCCCTCTGATTAGTTTAGATCTTGTTCCTCAATCTTAAACTTTGAATGAAGCTTTAACTACAAGATATTACAGAGACAGATGAACAAGAGATTAGTTTGCAGAAGGAAATGACCCTGGACCAAATGCTGAAAGTGGTATTGATTTCATTCAATAATCTGATACAAACTTGTCTGTGTAACAAGTAATTACTTATCATATAGACAAGTAGGTATTTATATATATGTATATAAACATCTGGTTAGCAGACAACCAGTTTCCTATGAACTGAGGATTTGGTATATTTAAGTTATTTCTAAAGACTGAAACAGAAATAGCAAGCATGATTTTCTTTTTAAAAATATAAACATACGTTGGATGCTGCATCATCCTCCTCCTCTGAACTTCCATCCTCTGCATCACTTCATGGGGATGCAGTCTCTGGGCTGGAGGTGCTGTGGCTGGAATATGGTGGGAAATTGGCTGGTGTGTAGGAGGAAGATGCTGAGGGATTGGTGCAGCTGTGCTGGCTAAATGAGTTGGAGGAGGGGGTGCCACAGGGTGTGATGCTGCATGAGAAGATATCTGAGAATGGAAAGCATGTACAGGATGAGGAATAACATAATCCACTTGAGGTGGAGGCTGAGTCTGAGGTGGTGGGTTTCCATGAGAGTGTGGGCAGGCAGAAGCTTGATGGTGAAGTGGTCTTGTCAAAGCAGCATCTGCAAGAAAAACATTTCAAGTATGTTACATAAGCACCAAGCAGTTGAGCATATATTGCTATTATTCATTCCTATTGTATTTGATAATATTAGCATATTTTATTTTAATGAGTATTTATGAATGTCTACATCATCTAAGCCAACTTTCTTATTTGAATAATTTTGGGTATCTTTCCTCATATCAAATTAAATAGTTTCACTCCATTCTGAGCTTCCCAACATTCTATTAGAGAAATATACCAAAATTCTCTTAAGAAATCCCTACTGATAAAAATTAGAAGTAACCCATAAGGCCTGTGCATGATTCCTCTTTTGTTTTTATTGTTTAGAATGCTTTTATTTAATAAATATAAATTTTGTAGGTATAGCTTTCGGAATATAGTGGTTCTTGCCCCCATGCCCACCTTCCCATCACCATTCCTGTCCTACCTCCTACTCCCTCTCCCATCCCATTTTTCATTAAGATTCATCTTTATATACAGAAGATCAACTCTATACTAAGATTGTATGATTCTTCTTGTGCACACTCCTTTTCCTATACACACATGTATACATATACATACACATACACTCTCAGGCCACTTTTCTAACATAAATTCCTATAAGTAGTTGTGAGTTAGAATAAATTCAGATACCCACCAACATATACAGAAATGCCCGCTTACTCTTACAATATCACTAAATATTTATTATTTACTAATCACATTTCTTCTTCTCAGAATCATTTTATGAAAGTATTTTTAAAAGTTCACAGAAAATGCCTATGATAAAAAAAAAAACTATGCATGGATTTCAAAACCTATTTTTCCATTTCACTTTCTCTGAATTTTTTGAAGTATCCTCATTTGTATATTCTATCTTCCAAAGTATCTTTTTTATTGAGGGCAAGGTGAGAACATATTCAAGGGTTGTACTTTTCTGTAGTTAAATCAGATAAATATTAGACTTATAAATATATAAGCCTTATTTTTTTGTAATTTACTGGATATAAGGAATTGTGGACAAGCAAGGAATCTGACAGTCCTTCTTAAAAGAACGAGAAAAATATTCTTCTACTGCTGCTCTTATCTCTCCCTGCCCCAGGTCAGTTTTCTTATACTATATTAAGATGAAGGAAACATTTCTACCTAGGAACTATGGAAGCTATGGAAGGAGGCCCCTAGCAAGATGGTTCCCTCCATTTCATTATTCCAGACTTCATGGTTCAAAGTGATCACTGAAAAACCCCTCTGGGGAACATACATCTCTCTTATTCAAAGAGATCTGCATCTACTTGATGCAAAAAATGTTGCCGGCGCCGTGGCTCAATAGGCTAATCCTCCACCTTGCGGCGCCGGCACGCCGGGTTCCAGTCCCGGTCGGGGCGCCGGATTCTGTCCCGGTTGCCCCTCTTCCAGGCCAGCTCTCTGCTATGGCCAGGGAGTGCAGTGGAGGATGGCCCAGGTGCTTGGGCCCTGCACCCCATGGGAGACCAGGAAAAGCACCTGGATCCTGGCTCCTGCCATCGGATCAGTGCGGTGCGCCGGCTGCAGCGGCGGCCATTGGAGGGTGAACCAACGGCAAAGGAAGACCTTTCTCTCTCTGTCTCTCTCTCTCACTGTCCACTCTGCCTATCAAAAAAAAAAAAAAAAAAAATGTTGTCTCCTCCTTGAATTTCAATTTCATTCCAAATTTCATTCTGTTGGAAGATAGTCTTGGTAGTCTAGGATGAAGTTATGGTCATTCTCAAATTCTAGCACAGAAGAATTTTCTTCCATTTTTAACGCTTTTGATTCAGCAGGGGTAAAAGTTAGGCCAGCATAACTCACTCTGCTGCATTTGCAAAGGAAGCCTTGTCAACATGCATTTACAGGAAATTTTCAATAAATTCAATGTAAGTTGTATAAATTTTTAAACCAATTTTCTAAAAGTTATGCTTTCAAATCAATGCTTTATTCTGCAAGAAGGCACAAAATTCAGTACGTCTCAGTCACTAAAAAAAAGTCACTAGCATCCTTCCTCAAATTCACATTTCTTCCAGTTTCACTTCAAAGTTTTCTATTTCTAGAATCATTATGTAAGAAACAGTCACAAACATTACAGAATCTAAAAATTTTATTTGAGAATGAATCAATTTATCTAAGTTTGACTCTTCAGCCACCATTTATCTAAACAGAATTAATCATTACAGAAGTGATGTTCTCTAGATTCCCAGAGACCACGTCTCTTCCTTTTTCCAATTTTAAGCTGTTCTCTTGCCAGCTTAATAAAAATAACTGCATAAATATATACAATATTGTTTGTTAATTAAAAATAAAACTTAAAGATCTATGTCAGTATCAGACTCACTGAATCCTAACAGCTTAACAGTCTATAGCAATCATTTAATGATTAATCCTAGATAGCCTTACTTGTCTATCTTGTCAAAACCTCTTATTTTTCCAATTTCAGTATATGTGCTGCTGAAATAAACACTCATTATCTCTTATTAGTAAGCTTTTAAATGATAGCATTTTGAGTATAGTTCTTTTATCACTTTATCAAGACACATAAACTTCAAAATCAAGAAAAGCTTTTCTTATTGTACTAGTCTTATTGATATTCATATACTTTTTAAACAACAAACTATTCACTTGGGTCATCAAAGTTTTACAATTTATAGTAATCAACAATTACTCTCATTTTACAACTGTGAAGAAACTGAGGACAGGGAGATTTAAATAACATGCCCAAAGCCAGCACAATAATTATTCAGAGCTGGGAAATCAACTCAGATATATCTAATTCTAAAAGCCAGTGCTCTACTACATCTTATTGTCCTTCCCAGCTCAGTTTAAATAAAAAGGGGTTTAGGAACTACATGTTTGACAAGTGAATTAAAGTACATTGGAAATAGTTTTTAAAGAACACACAGGCTGCAGGGGCATAAGGATTTATGTATGTATGTGTATATAAAAATACTCCTTTTATAAAAAGGAGTCTACAGCAAGATTATCAAACTGTCTCCAACAGAAGAGAATGCAATTCAAATTCCCTATTTTTATTTTCATTCATACATTCCCAATGAGTAATGTAAACCGGTGCAATCCTCTGAAATTTAATAGTATTTACTTGAAAGTTTATCCTTTTGCCATCACAATCTGACTCCTATAGAGACTCAAACAAGCAGAAACAATTTAAATGTCCATCAACAAAGGAATGAGTTAATATACAATGATTATGAGGTTATTAAAAAGCAATGAGCAGGAAGAAAAAGGAAAGGGGTATATTAACGTATTTTTATGTACTAATACGGAAGAAACCCAAGATATACAGTTAACCTCTAAGGTGTTAATATTAATGAGATGTGAGTCCTCTTCTAGTCCAGCTCTCTGCTGTGGCCCGGGAGGGCAGTGGAGGATGGCCCAGGTCCTTGGGCCCTGCACCTGCATGGGAGACCAGGAGGAAGCACCTGGCTCCTGGCTTCGGATCGGTGCAGCGCGCAGGTTGTAGCGACCACTTGGGGGGTGAACTAACAGAAAAAGGAAGATCTTTCTCTCTGTCTTTCTCTCTCTCACTGTCTAACTCTGCCTGTCAAAATAAATGAATAAATACATTTTTTTAAAAAATGCATTTTTTTAAGGGCCAGTACTGTGGCGTATCAGGTTAAACCACCACCTGCAGTGCCGGCATCCCATATGGGCGCCAGTTTGAGACCCGGCATTCCACTTCCTCTCCAGCTCTCTGCGATGGCCTGGGAAAGCAGCAGAGGATGGCCCAAGTGCTTGGGCCCCTGCACCCACATGGGAGTCCTGGAAGAAGCTCCTGGCTTCAGAGCAGCGCAGCTCCAGCCATTGCAGCCAATTGGGGAGTGAACCGGCAGATGAAAGACATACCTCCCTCCCTCCCTCCCTCCCTCCCTCCCTCCCTCCTGCCCCCCGCCTCTCCTTATCTGTCTGTGTAACTCTGAATTTCAAATAAATAAATCTTAAAAAAATCATTTTTTTAAACAGTAACTTATTTATTTCCAAGGCAGAAACAGACTGAGAGCTCTCTCACCTGCTTGCTCACTTCCCAAAAGCCCACAGAACTGGGGCTGGGCCAGGTAGAAGCCAGAAGCAGGAATTCAATCTTGGTCTTCCACATCAATGACAGAGACTCAGCTACTTGAGCCATCAACCTGCTGCTGTCCATTGTGAACATTATCAAGAAGCTGGAATTGGAAGTGGAGCCAGTACTCAAATCCAAGCATTCCAATATGGGATGCAGGCATCCCAAGCAGCATCTTAACCACTGTGCCTCCAAAAAGGGCTTTTAAATTCTCATTTTACATCATTCTACACAATTTAAATTTTTAGAATGTACACAAAATGCTTTTACAATAAAGGTAAAACAAGCTTAGATCTAAAACGTTTATTTATTATGACATTTAAAAAGAAACATACTGACTTAGAAATTGCTTCAGTATGTTATTTTTTAAAGTGGAGGGGCAGGAAAAATGGCATATATTGAGATATCTATAATAAAAGATTATCAAAGGGGGCCTGGCATTGTGGTGCAATGGGTTAAGCCATCACTTGTAACATCAGCATCTCATATCAGAGTCCCAGGTTGAATCTTGATTACTCTGCTTCCAATCCAGCATCCTGCTAATGTGTGTGGGAAAGCAGCAAAAGATGGCCCAAGTCCTTGTGCCTGTGCAATCAATGTGGGAGACCAGGACAGAGTTCGTGGTTCCTGGCTTCAGTCTGATCCAGCTTGGGCTGTAACTACCATTTGGAGAATGAACCAGAAGCGAGAAAAGTATCCCTCTTCCTCCACTTTGGTCAAAGTGTTTTAAAACCCTCTGGCTCTGTCACTGTGCCCTTCTAATTAATCAATTAATTGACTGATTGATTTTAAAATATCAACACAAAACAGCCTTTATATCACAGCACTGTTCATAAACAAATTTTGTTCACTGGTCAATGCTTTGCCAAAACTGTTTCTAAACTTGTCTTCTCACACTTTACATTTTAAGATGCATTATCAATAAAGTAAAAAATACATCTCCAGTTTCACTGCACAAATTCCAATTTGATTCCAACTATGCCTGCTGGATGTACAGTACTTATATTACTGAGAAAAAGAAGAAATTAAATAATTATAAATTAGAGAAATTCCTTGCATATTACCAAAAGTTTCCTTGCTAACTTCCTGGTTTACCTCTGGCACAAATTTTCACTGTTTATTATCAAAGAAAGCTTCTAAACTAACAAAGTGGCAAGTATGCGACAAAGCTTGAGTGTATCATTTCTTATATCTAAGGAATTTCAATTTAGTTAGAAAAGCCATGACTGGTTCTATTTTAATTACCCGAAAAACTGAATATAAAAACATTTTTCCACCTAGTAATACTTTCTGTCAAAGAATTCTCTCTTATGCCTAAGTTAACAGCTTGAGAATTCTAGGACAAAATATACTTCACTTTGCCTAGAAACACTAAACTGTCACATTTCTTTGGTTACTCCTAAAGAATATAAATTCCCAAAAACATATTTTTTTAAGAATCTAAAGTGCCATACAATGTATCCCACTTTCACAAAAATTAAAATGGGAAAAACTCTCTCAGGATTAAGTCTGATAAATACTAGACATTTATGAATTAGGACTAATGAAGTCAGTTCACAGAGGAATGTATAATACATTACATTATACTTACAAGGAGGCGGCATATAATGTCGACATGATGAGAGAGAAGGTTGTGGAGGAGGCTGTGGCTGTGGCTGTGCAACCATGCTTGATCCATAACCATCTATTGATAATGGCTGACTAGGGGCAGCGGCAGCAGCCTGATGGCCAAAGATTGCAGCTCGGGTTGTAGAGACAGGGCAACAGGGGTCAAACGCAGATGCTCCGTGAAAACCACCACTCCCGTGGCTTCTGATAGCGCTGTTGCTCAGGTCTACTGGCAAAGCCTGCTATGTAGAGAGGAACTGTATTTTATCCTTCTAAGTCTGGTCAAAACATTGTTTCAAGTTATACTGTAACTGTTTTCCTAATGAAACCTAGAAAGATATAACCTTGAAATTAATTTGAAAATGGTAAGATTCTTAGTGTGAAGACCTATTTACTGAGCACCAGAAAAATACTGTATGATCTTAGATTGTGAAAACTATAGTAGTTTTATACTTAAAATTTGAAATAAATTTTAAAAATAAAACATCATACCTCAAGATAAACAAAAATTTAACTCATATTATTTAAAGTCTGTTTCTCATCTTAGAAACATTAAAAGCATCCCTTTATCTAAAATTACGAACAGAAATTTAGGATTCCTTTAGAAAAAATTACGACACCACTGGAAACATTAAGGTTCTAGGTAAAAACCCGTCTTCCCCAAATTCCCAAACTTCAGTGCATGCAGCAAGCATTCAACTAAAACTAATAGTGCAAACAAAACTATTTTAGCCAAAATAACAAAGGACATAAAATTATTCAGGCTAATTAATGAGTTAGCACGGCCTCTTAGCCTTTTTCATTTGCCTCCTTTCAAAACTTAAATAAAATAATTGATTCCTTGGCATAGGAATACGATCATAGGGAAGGCCCATTTACTAAGACAGGTAATAAATCAGTTTCTAGATTTCATCTCTACTCATCATTGTTTTTCTTTTCTATTTGGAAAATTCTAAATAAAACACTTTGACCTTCCACTCTAGAATATAGTATAAGAATTTCTACTTTGTATTCTTAAGTAATTTAAAGATAAGCCTACTGCTTAGTTTCAGTATAGCTGTAATTTTCAAATATGATTAAAGATCATATATGGAAATATACACAGGAACTTTTCAATACTATAAGCTGAGAGACAGTAGAGAAAAAAAAAAAGTCAGCATAATGCATTTGGCAGAGGTCCAGATCACCCAGCAGTTCTCAGAAAAACCATAGCAATCTATTTACTTTCCATAGGCTCCAGGCTCAGAAAATAATAGAAACAGAGGGCTGGGGACTGTCACTGTGGCATAGCAGGTAAAGCCGCCCCCTGCAGTGCCAGCATCCCATATTGGCGCCAGTTCGAATCCCGGCTGCTCCACTTCTGATCCAGCTCTCTGCTATGGCCTGGGAAAGCAGTAGAAGATGGCCCAAGTCCTTGGGCCCCGGCACCCGCGTGGGAGATCCAGAAGAAGCTTCTGGCTCCTGGCTTCGGGTTGGCGCAGCTCTGGCCGTCACAGCCATTTGGGGAGTGAACCAGTAGATGGAAAACTCTCTCTCTCTCTCTTTCTCTCTCTCTCTGCCTCTGCCTTCTCTGTAACTCTGCCTTTCAAATAAATAAAAAATAAAAATCTCAAAAACAACACATAACCAAAAACGGGGCTGATCTTGTGGCATAGCAGATAAAGCCACCACCTGCAGTGTTGGCATCCCAACATAGGAACTGGTTCATGTCATGGATGCTCTACTTCCAATCCAGCTCCCTGCTAATGGTCTGGGAAAAGCAGCAGAAGACGCCCAAAGTGTTTGGGTTCTGCCACTCACAGGGGACATCCAGATGAAGCTCCTGGGTTTGGCCTGGCCCAGCACTGACCATGTGGCCTTCTAGGGTGTGAATCAGCAGACGGATGATCTCTATCTCTGTTTTTCTCTCTGTAACTCTATTTATTTCAAAATAAATAAATTACTCTTTTAAAAAAGAAAAAAAGGGGGCTGGTGCTGTGGTGGAGCAGATCAAGCTACCATGTGCAGTGCTGGTATCTCAAATGGGCACCAATTTGAGATCTGGCTGTTCCACTTCTGATCTAGCTCCCTGCTATGACCTGGGAAAGCAGTGGAAGATGGTCCAAGTCCTTGGGCCCCTGTACTTGTGTGGGAGATCCAGAAGAAAACTCCTGTTCCTGGCTTTGGATCAGCCCAGCTCCAGCCACTGAGACCATCTGGGGAGTTAACCAGCAGATGGAAGATCTCTCCAGCCACTGAGACCATCTGGGGAGTTAACCAGCAGATGGAAGATCTCTCTCTCTCTCTCTCTCTCTCTCTCTCTCTCTCTCTGACTCTCCCTCTGACTCTAACTCTGCATTATAAATAAAATAAATAATAATAAAAAAAAAAACGAAGAAAGAAAATAATAAAAACAAAAACTCCGGATGCTGAAGGGTGGTACTGTACAGCAGAAACTGTATGAAGGACAAAAGGAAGAGTACTTTTCTTCTCTATTGTGTGTTTACAACCAGTTAAACACATGTCTGGCCTCCTTCTGTTGAGTTGGCAGATATAATACATGTCCTCATTCCAGGGAAATAAAGCTTATTATTAATGTGGTGAGAATGTGAATTTATGGTTCAAACCCTTTCCCCACTATTCAGATTAATATCAGTAAATGGACTAAATTAATAATATCTCATGAAGGTGAGCAAGTTTCTTCTCGTATTTGTCTCTAGACAGTGATTAAGAATACTGAGTACAAAGTTTGGTAAAGGTTCTCCTAAAAGAATTAAAGGAAAAATTAAATGATAAAAAGGGGGGAAAAAACAAACAATGAGAACCCTCTCCACAATTCCATCATTTCAATTAAGTTCTAGAAAAGGGAAGATGATGAAAAGATGAATAGACAGGGGAAATGATACTACTTTACAAAGATTATAAATGCATTGTACTAATTTAGCCACACTCAAGGGCACAGTAAGGTGACTACTGCCACTTCTCTGTTTAAAGGCCTCTTTCTGGCCTAGCCATAACATGGCACTCAATCATATCACAAATTATCAGATAAATAGTTTCTTCTTCCATTCCTCAAGTTCCTGCAGTGCCTAAGCACGAATCAAATGAAGACCATATAAGGTTATCTCATGAGCAGATGACTAGTTTCAGAGTCCTCCAAACATCTATTTTTTCGCAGAATTTTTTTTTTTTTTTTTTTTGGGACAGGCAGAGTGGACAGTGAGAGAGAGTGACAGAGAGGAAGGTCTTCCTTTTGCCGTTGGTTCACCCCTCAATGGCTGCTACGGCCAGCGCACCGTGCTGATCCGAAGCCAGGAGACAGGTGCTTATCCTGGTTTCCCATGGGGTGCAGGGCCCAAGCACTTGGGCCATCCTCCACTGCACTCCCTGGCCACAGCAGAGAGCTGGCCTGGAAGAGGGGCAACCAGGACAGAATCCGGCACCCCAACCGAGACTAGAACCCGGGATGCCGGCGCCACAGGCGGAGGATTAGCCTAGTGAGCCGCGGCACCGGCCAGACATCTATTTGAATCTCAAACTGTTATCTTCAAAATCTTACTCTAGAGGCAGGTGCTGTGGCACAGTGCGTTAAAGCCCCAGCCTGAAGGGCTGGCATCCCATGTGGGCACCAGTTCGAGTCGCAGCTGCTCCATTTCCGATCCAACTCTCTTCTGGGAAAGCAGAAGATGGCCCAAGTCCCTGGGCCCCTGCACCCATGTAGGAAACCTGGAAGAAACTCCTGGCTTCTGCCTTTGGATCAGCTTAGCTCTGGCCGTCGCAAACATTTGGGGAGCGAACCAGTGGATGGAAGACTGACCTCTTTCTCTCTCTAGCTCAACCTTTCTAACTCTTTCAAATAAATAAAATAAATCTTCAAAAAAAAAATCTCACTTTATATTCATCTTCATGCCCATTACCAATACTGAATGCCTAGGATCTCACTGTTCTCAAATTTTGTTTAAAGTCCAAATGCCTCTAATTATAGATGGGGAAATGGTTATATTCATTTTACAACAAACAGAGCTTATATAAGGGGAGCCAGTGCTATGGCACAGCAGATTAAACCACCACCTGCAATGATGGCATCCCATATGAGTGTCAGTTTGAGTCCTGGCTGCTCCACTCCCTGTTAAAGCACCTAGGAAAGCAGCAGAAGATGGCTTGGGCCTCTGCCACCCATGTGGGAGGCCAGGATGAGTTCCAGGCTTTGGTTTGCAACCATTTGGGGAGTAAACCAATGGATAGAAGAAAGATCTCTTTCTGTCCCTCTAACTCTGCCTTTCAGATAAATTAAAAAAAAAAAAAAAAAAAACTTTAAGAGATTTTATCTATAATTAATGATTTGGGTTGAAAAAATATATGTTCAACTGATCTCTTAAAACCTGCTGCATTATTTTATTAATACAACAGAATATCCTATGAGTCACAGGCCAAGCTTTTGGAAGCTCTTTAATGAATGTAGGAGGAGCTAGGAGACCTACTTCTCCACCGTTTTCCTACTATCTTTACAAAGTCCCCTTTCACTATAAATATGGAGTAAAAGGATGTATTACATTTAAGCAGAGCCTTTCATTCAGTTCATGTAAGTTTTCTTTGATGTTAATTCATTTCCAAGAGGTAGAAAAAATACAGATAATACCTAAAGGTATTCCCAGAACCAAAATAACATCTAAAATCTTTTTAACCATATTTTCTACTAAATCCTTTCAAATTTGCTCTTGATAATAGCAAACTTTGCATTTAAGGAAACACCCCTCTTTCTTATTTTCAATTTGTCTGATCCAGAAGAGATAACCGCCAAAATGTTAAAAGATAAAACAAGAACTTCAGGAAAGGTCAGGTGATACAGAAGAGCACATGTTCTGAATTTTCATTCTGACTTTTTTCCAGGATTCTTTTCTAGTACATATGTCAAAGTTACAATTTGTCCCTGAAATTACATCTTTTGATTTTGAAGGTATATAACACTCAGGCTTATATCATGATTATAAACAGAACAACATATCAAAAAGTTACTCAGCATGATCATGATTGCTAATTTAATATTATTGGCATCTTATTACTCACCAATATCAACTAACTTATTTATTTATAATTTTTTTGCTGACATTTCAATTCTCCATAAATTGAAAACCTTATCTGCTCCTGAAAAGCTATGCCTCAGTTTTGCATCCATGAAGGTCGCATATTTCTAGATAAGTGGAAGTTATAGTGAACTCCAAGTAGGAGTTAGAAGGGAAAAACTGATAATTTTTCAGTTTCTCTGAATTAGACTAACACCGTAGATTCAACATTTTGTTTAAAATAACATCCCAAAGATCAGAATCACCTATAATCCTATAATATTAACCGAAAACACCAAGATTCATTCCAGAATAAAAAAGTCACTTTTAGATTAGGTGGCATCCCTGATTTTCCAAATTTCTGAATTCATCAATGAACTGCAATAATTTAGACCATCTGAAAATCTTGAAGACTTAATAAAATTTATCACTGGCAACCCACCCTGGTTCCCATAAGTTATCACAATTAAAGGAGAAGGGGAGAGAAGAATAACTGACTCTCCTCAAATTCCCATACCTGGTCATGGTAGCTGGTACCAGAGCTACTATTTGTTCCACAAGGTGCTTGTACTTGTGGAGGTCTTTCCACAGGGCAAGTAGGATCAGCAAAAGAAGGAGAAACTGGAACAGCTGGGTGGGGAGTATGATGGTGGTGGTGGTGATGTTGAAAATGATGACCATGCTGCTGAAAGCAACTTGTGTGTGGATGTCCTAATGCATGGTGATTCTGTGATGATCCTCCACATGGTGAGTGTTGAGGACAGCAGGAAGGTAATCTCGGCATAGCAGGAGGGCCAGTTTCCGTTACAGAACTAGAAGCAGTTCTCCTTGAGTCATCTTGAAACAGGAAAAAAAAAAAAAAAGGCAAATAATTAGATCATCAAAGATCTCTATAAAACTGTCAGTAAATAAACAGAGAATTAAGAAATGTTTAGGGTCCAGTGCTGTGGCATAGTGCATAAAGCCACTGCCTGCAGTGCCAGCATCCCATATGGGTGCCGGTTCAAGTCCCAGCTGCTCCATTTCCGATCCAGCTCTCTGCTATGCCCTGGGAAAGCAGTAGAAGATGGCACAAGTCCTTAGGCCCCTGCACCCTCATGGGAAACCCGGAAGAAGCTTTTGGCCCTGGCTTTGGATCAGCGCAGCTCCAGCTATTGTGACTAATTGGGGAGTACACCAGCGGATGGAAGACCTCTCTCTCTCTCTCTGTAACTCTGACTTTCATATAAATAAATAAATCTTAAAAAAAAAAAAAAAAAAAGAAATGTTTAATAAAATCAAGTCTGTGTAAATAAGAATGTGATACTAACAGCACATTCTTAACCTATACATAATTTTGAGTAGTTGTATTTACTGGGATTTTCCTCAAAGTCTAAATTTTTCAAAAGGCTCATATTTACCAGAATGTGTAATGGTGATTATCTTTCCCATCACAAATTATTAGGTACCAACAAAAATTGATTTTAAAAATTGCAAAATATCACAAGATCTTCCATTATGGTTTTTTTTAAATTTATTTATATGACAGAGTTAGTGAGAGAGACAGAGAAAAAGGTCTTCTTCCATTTGTTCACTCCCTAAATGGACGCTACGGCTGGCACGCCACGCCGATCCGAAGCCAGGAGCCAGGTGCTGCTTCCTGGTCTCCTATGCGGGTGCAGGGGCCCAAGCATTTGGGCCATCCTCCACTCTCTCCCGGGCCACAGCACCGGCCCTGTCCTTTGTCAATTTTTAAATTGAGTTGTTTGTGCAAACTGAAGAATACCTTTCTTGCTAACACAGCTAAAATTTTAACCTTAAAAACAATAATACTGGAGCCAGCGTTGTGGCACAGCGAGTTAAAGCCCTGGCCTGAAGCACTGGCATCCCATATGGGCGCCGGTTATAGTCCTGGCTGCTCCTCTTCCAATCCAGCTCTCTGCTATGGCCTGGGAAAGCAGTGGAGGATGGCCCAAGTCCTTGGGCCCCTGCACCCACGTGGGAGACCTGGAGGAGGCTCCTGGCTCCTGACTTCAGATCGGCACATCTCCAGCCGTTGTGGCCATCTGGGGAGTGAACCAGAGAATTAAAGACCTCTCTCTCTGTCTCTCTCTCTCTCATTAGCTCTTTCAAATAAATAAAATAAATCTTAAAAAAAATACTTTCCAAAATGAATGTAATGACAAAAAGTCACCCTCTACACTTTTTTACATACCTCCTATAGAAGTACCAGTTGTACTATTGCTTGTAAGGGTAGCTAAAGTCTCTGACACTGTGGAAGGCTGGCTACTGGTGACAGCTGGAGCAGCATCAGAAGACTGCTCAGAGGTAGATGGATTTGAATTGTTAATGGAAGCGCTAGTAGTTTGTGATTCCATTCTTGCAGAAGTGGTTGGTACTACAGTAGGTTCTACAAAACACAAAAATATTTAGCATATCAAAAGCAGGAACAGATTATATTTCAATCCAAGTTAACATTTAAAATTTCTAAAATGAAATAAACATTAAAAATATAAGCTTTCTAATAAGTGTATATGGTAAAGAACATTTTCACAAAGCTAAACTACAACAAACTCACAAATTATGATTGTTGCATTTAAAAAAATTCAACACATATCTATTCATATTCCAGTAATTTATATGACTAAATAGTTTTTCAGGTAAAGAAAAGACTAAAAAGGACAGTAGAAGTTCCTCTACTAAGCCCAAATATGGTTGCAGTCTGTTAGAACAGAGTTACAAATTGTACTTTCTAGGGTCAGACTCCTTGGATAGCTTTTTATTTTTTTTAAGATTTATTTATTTACATGAAAGGCAGAGTTAGAGAGAGAGACAGACAGAAATCTTCCATCTGCAGGTTTACCCCAAAAATGCCCACAAAGGCCAGAGTTGCACAGGCCAAAGTCAGGAGCCAGGAGCTTCATCTGAGTCTTCCACATGGGTAGTAGGGGCCCAAACACTTGGGCCATCATCCAATGCCTTCCCCAGCACACTGGCAGGGAGCTGGATCAGAAGTGGGGCATTGGGACTTGAACTGGCACCCATATGGGATACAAGTGTCACAGGAAGTGGCTTAACCCACTGTGCCACAACACAGGCCCAGAGATAGCAGTTCTGATTTCACCACTGATGGACTAACTATGGGTAAGTTACGAAACCCATTCTCCATTTCCTCATTGGTAGAACTGGGAAAGTAACATCACATTATAAAACCATTAGGATAAACTGAGATCATGCATGCAATCCACTTTGTATGATGTTTTATGTAATAATCAGTTAATAAGCATTAGCTATGATTAAGATATGTTTTAATCTCATTTTCCATGAGCTGCCTGTTTTCAGATTATTTTACAAATATTCATCAATACTTTCTAATAAAAATTCAAATTTTTTAAGTAGAAAGTAAAGAAACTTCAGGCAAACCTCAACTTATGAGTTCAATTTTAAACATCTGAGTATAAACTGGTTGCTTGAAATCGATAACATGGGGCCCGGCACTATGGTACGGCAGGTTAAAACCCTGGCATACAGAGCCGGCATCCCATATAGACGCCGGCTCAAGTGCCTGCTGCTCCACTTCCAATCCAGATCCCTGTTAACGTGCTTGAGAAAGCAGCGGAGGACAGCCTAAGTCCTTGGGACCCTGCACTCACGTGGGAGACCCAGAAGAGGCTCCTGGCCCCTGGCTTAGATCGGCTCAGCTCCAGCCCTTGTGGCCATTTGAGAAATGAACCAGCAGATGGAAGATCTCTGTCTCTTCCTTTCTCTGTAACTCTTTCAAATAAAAAAAAATGAATAAAATAATCTTAAAAAAAAAAAAAAAAAAAAAAAACTAAGAACATGGAAACTAAATCTGTCCAAAGCATAGTCACAACAATTTAATCTGCAAAGACAGGACTTTCTTGATGTGCTATGGAATGAGAGAACAGTTGCTTCTATATAAAATGCAGTGGGGCAGGCTATTTCCTCAGACACAAATAGTGCCTATTAACCCTATGGGAACCCCCTTAGACATTAAAAGATGAACAGGAATGGTGGGGGAGGGAAGACATTGTTGTGATGCAGTGGGTAAAGACACCAAGTGCAATTCCCACATTCCATATCAGAGTGCTAATTTGAGCCCTGATTACTCTGCTTCTAATCCAGCTCACTGCTAATGTGCCTAGGAAGGCAGTGGGAGATGGTCCCAACTAGTTGGAACCCTGCAACCCATGTGGGAGACCAGGATGAAGTTCAGGGCTCCTGGCTTTGGTCTGGCCCATACCTAGCCATTGCAGCCTTTTGGGGAATGAATCCAGACAGAAGATATCTTTTTTCCCTTTCTCTCTATTGTGCTTTCATTCAAATAAACAAATTTTCATGAAAGAGGGAAGGGGAGGGGAGGGGAGATAACGGGAGGGAGAACCTCTGTCTATTTGCAAATGGTTTAACTCAAGGTTTCTCAATATTCACAATACTGACATTTTGGCCAAGACAATTATTTTTGTTTGTGAGGAAGGAGCTGCCCTATACACGACAAGATGTGAAGCAGCATCCCTGGTCTAAATCCATTAGAGGTCAGTATCACCCTTGCCCAACTGTGAGAACCCAAGATATCTGTTGCCAACTGTCTCTGGAGGATAAAACGGTCTGCTGTTGAGAACTAGTAATCTAACTAACATACCTAAGTTCTGGTTTTTATTTTATTATTTTTTAAAGATCTATTTATTTATTTGAAAGTCAGTTACTCAAAGAAAAGGAGAGACAGGGAGAGAGAGATCTTCCGTCCACTGGCTCCACCCCCCAGGTAGCTGCAATAGCTAGGGCTGAGCCAGATCAAGGCCAAGAGCCAGAAGCTTCCATCTAGGTCTCCCACATGGGTGGCAGAGGCACAAACATTTGGGCCATCTTGCACTGCCTTTCCCAGGCCATTAGCAAACAGATGGATCAGAACTGGAGTACACAGGACACAAACCAGCACCAATATTTGATGCCAGAGTCACAGGAGGCAGCAGCTTTACCCACTATACCACAATGCCAGCCACTGGATTTATTTTTAATAAGAAAGGAATTTTCACTTAGAAAAACTAGTGGGAGCAGCTGGCGCTGTGGCATGGAAGGTTAAGCCTCCACCGGCAGTGCTGCATCCTATATGGGCACTGGTTCAAGTCCTAGGTACTCCACTTCTGATCCAGCTCCCTTTTAATGTACCTGGGAAAAAACCTGGGGTTGTCCCAAGTGCTTGGGCCCCTGCACCCACGTGGGAGACCCAGAAGAAGCTCCTGGTTTCTGGCTTCGAATCAGCCCAGTTACAGCCATTGAGGCTATTTGGGGAGTGAACCAGTGAATGGAAGATCTCTCTCTCTCTCTCTATGCCTTTCAAATAAATAGAGAGATCTTAAAAGAAAGAAAAACTAGTGGTAATAGGGGGCATTGAATGATCATTGGAATACTTTTAACTTAGTAAACTAAATTCTGGTTGAACTTTAATTCTAATAGGGAAAAGGCTACTGTGTCACTTTCTACTTCCTGGCTAACAGTTGTTACATGGGAAAACATACAAAATGTTTCCAAAATAGTAACCCTATATTTAATTAACTGTGAGTAATCATTAATTAATTCCTAGTACATTAATTACTGCCTTTTAAAAGATAATGTATGGTCCTTCAAAACAAAAACTGAGAATGATGAGTTATTGCAGACAGTGAGAATAAATTATCTCTCCATAAATATAATTTCAAAGTTCTAGTACTCTGAAAGTCACCCAAACAGCAAGCAGCTCATATAACAGCAGATGGCAAAAGGCCTCCAATTCTTCCCACTTATTTACTCTTTCCTTTCACTAGACATCTCTTCCCCCCAATTTATAGCTAACTCCCAAAATTAACACTCATATATGGCTTACCAGTAACCATTATGAAATGTTTCTACTACACTAAGATAGTTTATCAAATTCCCTTCATAATCCTACATAGTTCCATCTTACCATCTTCATCAACAGTAAGGTCCACAACTTCTGCTGCATTTTGCCTCAAGGGCTGTATAACAGTAGAAATTCTACTGCGGTTCCGTGGCTCCTGTGGCCGATTTGTGTGAGAACTTGACCCCTGGCTCCAGTGAGATCTGGAGTGCCCAAGGGTTGAACGAGACCTTAAATGTAAAGAACAAAAATTTTAGCCACCCTAGAAATCCATAAGTCTTTCATACAAAATAAATACTTCGTGCAAGACTTCCTCCAAAGAAAAGAATGGTAACTGAATTAAAAGTTAATATCAGCACAATGCCTGAAACTCAACAAACTTGGCTGAATGAAGCAATCACCAAATCAACCAACTCAACACACCCCAGAGAAAAAAAAAGTTAGGTTAAACCCATCATTAGTGTAAAATACAGGATTTTGCTTCAAGAAAAGTACTCTTCAATGGTTATTTTGAATATCCACCTGGGTTATAATCAATTGTTTACATTTTATGGTAATAGCAAAAATTTTAAAATAACACCCTACACATTTAGTAACATCCACATGATCTTCTAATGTTTGGCCTAGATTGAATTTGCAAAACATGACTCTGTGAGTAATAAACTAGCTAAGCTCCTGGTACTATCTTTAAAAAATACTAAGAAATAGGGGCCAGCGCTGTGGCATAGAAGGCTGTCTCTACCTGAGGCGCTGACATCCCATATGGGCACCAGTTCAAGTCCTGACTGCTCCTCTTCTGATCCAGCTCTTTGCTCACGGCATGGGAAAGCAGTGGAGATGGCCCAAGTGCTTAGGCCCCTGTACTCATACAGAAGTCCCTGAAGAAGCTCCTGGCTCCTGATTGGCCCAGCTCCGCCTCTGTGGCCATTTGCAGAGTAAACCAGCAGATGGAAGACCTCTCTCTCTGCCTCTCAAACAATTTATTTATTTATTTATTTATTTATATATATATATATATATATATATATATATATATATATAAAAACTAAGAAATAAATTGGCACCCAAGGTATTTCCTGGAGTCAAGTAAGGATACTGCGGAAACTTTACTAGTTCGTTAGCCATAGGGAAAATCAATTGAGTTACTTTCAATTTTAAAACACATGACCATGAACATAAACATCTAACATGTTTATTATCTTTTAAGTATGTGAGGGCATATTACTTTTAGATATATATACATTTTAAGGATTCACTATGATCTAGATTGAGAGTACATGGGGATAATAAGTAGAGTACACACTCCTAAATTTCCAGGGCAAAAAAAAAATCTGTCTTGGCAAAGTGGGGTCTTGGGGCCTGCACTGTGACGCAGTAGGCTAAGCCTCTGTCTACGGCACCAGCATCCTATATGGGTGCTGGTTCATGTCCTGACTGCTCTTCTGATCCAGCTCTCTGCTATGGCCTGGGAAAGTAGCAGAAGATGGCCCAAGTGGTTGGGCCCATGCACTTGCATGGGAGACCCGAAAGAAGCTCCTGGCTCATAGTTTCAGAATGGCCCAGCTCTGGCCATAGTGGCCATTTGGGGAGTGAACCAGCCGATGGAAGACCTTTCTCTCTGTCTGTAACTCTATGTCTCAGATAAATAAATAAAACCTTAAAAAAAAAAAAAGTGGAGTCCAATAGTTTCTTTTTTCTCCTGCTCAAACTGAAACTGTTTATAAGCATCTATCAGCTTATGACTAGCACAATGTATGGAAAGGGTAAGTGCGTCACATTAATATAGAAGGTCACTGAGGGTGTGAGCTCGACCACTCAGAAAAGAATCCCAAAGTTCAAAGTGGGTGGAAAATGGCCTCAACAACTAGAGACCAAGACTGTACAAAGAAATTTAGGGGGCTGGCAACCTAGCAGAGCAGGTTAAACTGTTGTATATGATGCTGGCAACCCCTTTGAGAACGGATTAGTCTGGGCTGCTCCACTTCAAATCCAGCTCCTTGCTAATGTACCTGGATACGCAGCAGAGGGGGGCTGGTACTGTGGCTCAGCAAGTAAAGCCACCACCTGTGGTGCTGGCATTCCATATGGATGCCAGTTCGAATCAAGACTGCTCCACTTCTGATCCAGCTCTTTGCTATTGCCTGGGAAAGCAGTAGAAGATGGCCTAAGTCCCTGGGCCCCTGCACCTGTGTGGAAGACCCAGATGAAGCTCCTGGCTCCAGATTGGCACAGCTCTGGCCATTGCAGCCATCTGGGGAGTGAATCAGCAGATGGAAGACCTCTTTTTCCCCCATCCTCTCTCTCTCTCTGCCTCTCTGTAACTCTGCTTTACAAACAAATAATTAAATTTTTTTTAAGATTTATTTATTTACTTGAAAGTCAGAGTTACACAGAAAGAGAGAGAGAGAGAGAGAGAGAGAGAGAGAGAGAGAGAGGTCTTCCATCCGATGGTTCACTCCCCAGATGGCTGCAACAGCCAGAGCTGTGCCAATCCGAAGACAGGAGCCAGGAGCTTCCTCTGGGTCTCCCATGTGGGTGAAGGGAATCCAAGGACTTGGGCCATCTTCTGCTTTCCCAGACCATAGCAGAGACCTGGATCAGAAGTGGAGCAGCCAGGACTAGAACCAGCACCCATATGGGATGCCAGCACTGCAGGCAGTGGCTTTACCCACTCCGCCACAGTACCGCCCGCCCCCCAAATAATTAAATCTTAAAAAAAGGAAAAAAGCAGCAAAAGATGCCTCCCACAAAGGAGATGTGTGTCTCTCTCTCCCACCTCTTTCCCTCTAAGTCTGGCTTTCAAATAAATAAATAAAATGCTTAAAATTTTTTTTTAAACTGAGTCTCTGATGAGACTGAATAATCTATTATCTCTGGGAAACTTAATAGCTGCACAAAGAGCCAGGTACACTTTGCAGTACTCTCCTGAATGCTTCATAGGATATCCTAACTCCATAGCATCTATTGGAAAGAGCACCACCAAAACAGTTGATGGAGGAACAGTTTCACAGATGCCTTGGTTTTCACTATGATCAGTGGCACCTGTCAAATCCTGACGCAAAAGATTGAAACAAATCAGTATTTCCTCTTAAACTGGAAGTGCCAAGAGCCAGCTAAATGGTGACAAAGTAACAATAGGAAAATAACTATGGATTATGAGCACGGGGGTTTTTTGAGATCATTGTCTATTACTCAGGTAAATGCATCCACTTGACAACAAACATCTCCATGCCAAGGATCTCTAGTTCTACAAGGAAAAATATGTCCTTTATTTGGCAGCTTTTTTTTTTTTTTTTTTTGGACAGGCAGAGTTAGACAGTGAGAGAGAGAGACAGAGAGAAAGGTCTTCCTTCTCTTGGTTCAACCCCCAAACGACTGCCACGGCCGGCCTGTGCCAATCCGAAGCCAGGAGCCAGGTGCGTCCTCCTGGTCTCCCATGAGGATGCAGGGCCCAAGCACTTGGGCCATCCTCCAATGCCTTCCCGGGCCACAGCAGAGAGCTGGATCGGAAGAGGAGCAACCAGGACGAGAACCCAGCGCCCATATGTGATGCCAGGGCCACAGGCAGAGGATTAACCAAGTGAGCCACGGCACTGGCCCCTTTGGCAGCTTTTATAGCTTATAAAAATTGAGCCAGTATTGTGCTAAGCACTTTGTACAGTAACAGGGTAAGTGTGGCACATTTTGTAGAATACAGATATTCCCCAGAGCTTGGAAAATCATTTAAAAATTAAAACAACTAGGGGCACACTGCAGAGTACTCTTTTCCATGTCATTAGAAGAAGCACTCCAATGAGAAAGTGGTCACTGGAGAAGCACATTCTAGGTGCATTTGCATCATGCTTCAGAAGTATGATTGTCTTTTTAAATTCAGTGACACATTAAAATGCAGTGAACAAATATATTTCTAAATTCATTCCAACACAAAAATTAAAATTCATCTACTGATTTATACTTTGCTATATGGGCTATACCAAAGAAATTCTTTACTGTTACTATTACAATTTTTTTTTTTTTTGGACAGTGAGAAAGAGAGACAGAGAAAGGTCTTCCTTTTGCCGTTGGTTCACCCTCCAATGGCCGCCGTGCTGCGGCTGGTGCACCGCACTGATCCGAAGGCAGGAGCCAGGTGCTTCTCCTGGTCTCCCATGCGGGTGCAGGGCCCAAGCACTTGGGCCATCCTCCAATGCACTCCCGGGCCATAGCAGAGAGCTGGCCTGGAAGGGGGGCAACTGGGACTAGAACCCGGTGTGCCGGCGCCGCTAGGTGTTGGATTAGCCTATTGAGCCGCGGCGCCGGCCAACTATTACAATATTTATAATCATCTAAAGCAAACGATAAATGCAGTGTGAGGATTTGATGGGAGGATGGGTTTCAAAGTGATTCTGCAAAAAGTTAGTATCATTTCCAGCTATTTATCCAAACAAATGAGAATTTTTCATTTGTGTATAAGTTGAGGGCTTAGATGAAATTACTGAGTGAAGGATAAAAACTCAAGAAATATGTTTTAGGGAGTGGGAGCTTAACCTAGCAGTTAAGCTGTCTACCTCACAGTGCCTGGATTCAATTCCAGCTTCCTATCAACGCAGACTATGGGAGACAGCAGTGATGGCTCAATTAATTGGATTCCTGTACCCATGTGAGAGATTCAAACTGAGTTCCTCGCCTTGGTTCTGGCCCTAGCCAACACTGAGGAGTGAACCTGATCATTCACATTCTTTCTTTCTGACTCTCAAATCAATACATTCATTAATTACATTTTTAAAAATACTTATGCCTAGCCGGCGCCGTGGCTCAATAGGCTAATCCTCCACCTTGCGGCGCCGGCACACCGGGTTCTAGTCCCGGTTGGGGCGCCGGATTCTGTCCCGGTTGCCCCTCTTCCAGGCCAGCTCTCTGCTATGGCCAGGGAGTGCAGTGGAGGATGGCCCAGGTGCTTGGGCCCTGCACCCCATGGGAGACCAGGAAAAAGCACCTGGCTCCTGGCTCCTGCCAGGATCAGCGCGGTGCGCCGGCTGCAGCGGCGGCCATTGGAGGGTGAACCAACGGCAAAGGAAGACCTTTCTCTCTCTGTCTCTCTCTCTCACTGTCCACTCTGCCTGTCAAAAAAAAAAAAAAAAAAAAAAAACAACAAACATTAAAAATACTTATGCCTAAGATTCTAGTTCAACTGATCTGGGATAGAGCCTAGGCAACAATACATCTTTATTTTATAATCTCCCCTGCTTTATCTAACACAGACTGGTTTGAAAACCACTAATATGGTATATGCACCCTTCAATGAGGTCTCAAATAAAATAAGAATGCAAATACCTGCAGCATAATATGTTTAAATGCTTATATTTAGAACTTCAAACACAAAAGGAACAAGTAGTTCTCACCGATAACTTTCTCCAACTGTTACAATCTCTACTTCACTGTCAGTTGAGGTAACATTAATTTCTTCATTGGCAGTGACCTGGGGAGTGAAGGAAGTTTCTATAACCACAACATCTTCATCAATACTTCCTGCAAAGAAAAAGAAAAACACATTTAAAGGGCAAATGCTTGTTAGGTAATTGCTAGACAGCAATTTTTAAAAAATATGTATTTGAGACTGGTGCCGTGGCCCAGTTGGTTAATCCTCTGCCTGCAGTGCCACCATCCCATATGGGCGCCTGTTCTAGTCCTGGCTGCCCCTCTTCCTATCCAACTCTCTATGGCCTGGGAAAGCAGTAGAAGATGGCCCAAGTGGTTGGGCCCCTGCACCCACATGGGAGACCAGGAAGAAGCACCTGGCTCCTGGCTTTGGTTTGGCATGGCTCCAGCTGTTACAGCCATATGGGGAGTGAACCAACGGAAGGAAGACCTTTCTATCTATAACTCTACCTCAAATAAATAAATAAAATCTTTTTTAAAAAATATACTTATTTATTCGAAAGGCAGAGTGGTACAGAGACAGAGGGAGAAAGAAATTTTCCAACTGCCGGTTCACTCCCCAAATGGCCACAATGGCCAGTGCTGGGCCAGGTCAAAGCCAGGAGCCCAGAACTCCATCCAAGTCTCCTATTGGGTTTCAGGGATCCAAGTACTTGGGCCATCTTCCGTTGAGGGAGCTGGATCAGAAATGAGGCAGCCAGGACTTGAACTGGCACCCAATATGGGATACCAGCATTGCAGGTGGCAGCTTAGCTCACTGCACAATACCAACCACTAGACAGAAACCTTCATTTTGACTTGTGAGACTATGAAATTCATTATAAAAATAATGAAAGGGGAGGGGTACAGTAATTTCCATTGGAATAAGAGTTCCAATGTAGAGTTAAAGTAGAGTCAAAATTGCTTTAACTTCAATAACTTTGTAGGAGCAAAAGCAACTGCAAGCAGGAAGATGCTTTATAGTAACTAGTATGCAAATGTGGAGTAGACATGGTTCTACAATATGGTTTTTGTAGAGAGTATGAGTTTTGGAACTAAGAATTATACAAATCTTTTAAACTTTCTAAGATTTAGTGTCTTGATGAGGCTAAATGTGCAGAATACTGTACATGACACAAAGTATGTGCTCACAAATTAGAAATACACACTTAAAGTGGGTGTTTTTTTTTTTACTCTCATATTCTTATTATGGGATAATTCTCATCACAGATAGGATTTGTAAACTGTTGACTGACATCTGTATTGACAGATGATGGAAACACTGATAGCGGCATGTTTACAAAAAGTTATTCAGCACCAGATTTGTGTAAAATCTATCCAGAGAAGAAATAAATAACCTGCTCTTTTCTATCATTTTAATCGTCCTTAATACAGTTCAGTAGTATTAAGTATATTCAGACTGCTACGAAACAGATCTCCAGAACTTTTTCATATTTTATTAAATCGAAATTCTAGAATTATACCCTTTTCCACCATGCCACAACGCTGCCCCCCCCCCCTTAAAAATGTAAAAGTAGATAATGGTGCAGCATGAGGCAAATATTTTCCAGAAATCTGTTGATTTTAACAAATGAACTGATATTTGCAAAACAATATAAAAAATTTCATTCTTAGGTGATTTGCTAAAATCAATTATCTATAACTTTTGTGCCTAAAGGTTTTTTTGGTCAAAATAAAAAAAAATTTGAAACAGAAAGCTTCAGGCTTTCTGTTGGGCCAGGCTAGACTGGAACCAGAGCCGTAGGCTCGGAACTCAAGTCTAGTCTCCCACACGGATGGCAGGCACAAAGTCACTTCAGCTATATCAACAATGCCTCCCAGTGTCTGCACCGGAAGGAAGTTAGAGTCAGTAGCTAGAGCTAGGAATCAAACCCAGGCCCTATGACTTGGGACGCAGGCATAATAACCACTAGGTTGAATGTCCACTCCAGGAATCTTACCACAAAATGCTTAAAATATAAAACGTTTTTTCATTAATTCACTACTCTAACAGCAACTAAGTATTGATGAATTTCATGTGGACAAAGTTGCCCCAGTAGCTCCAGAGTAACTAATATCCATCCATACAAATCATATAAACATTTAGTAGGTAACTCCAATTAAAAGTTGAGACCTCCCAATCCTAATTTTAACACACAGTAAAACATAACAGATTTAGCAGCAGGCATGTGGCACAGTGGTTAAGATGCTTCATCCTTCCTGGAAACAGACACTGATTCTGATCTTTATTCATAATATTCTCACACACACACCCCGCCCCCCTGCTACAAGTAACAGTTCCCTAGAACTTCTGCTCCACATTACCAACATCCTGCATCATAAAATTCCAAGCAGAAATTGAGCTCTCCTAACCCATTTTCCCAAAACTAGAACCTACATTTTTTGATCATGAGGAAAAAAATCTGGTAATTTAGAAAGACAACTCCTGTTATTACATTCCTCTTTCTCAGAAATCTAAGGAAATGACTGCTGTTCCCCCAAGCCTAAGGTGATCACAAAGAACTCTTATAAAATAAGTATGGTTGGCTTTTAAATATGGACTACATATGGCTAAAGCTAAGATTACCAACAAGGTTACTGTTTTTAGGGGTCTGGTAAGGACAGAAGAGGAAAAAGGAAAAAGGAAAGAGAATCCGGAGAAGGCAGTGACTCATACAGAGGGAGAGATGAAAGAGGGAGACATGGCACATCTTAACAGTCTGAACAGTAGACTTGCAGACTCTGACCTTAACAAGCAGGACATCAGACAAAACTGGGAAAGCTCTGTGTCAGTATTGGAAACCATGATCCCACTCCTTTAAAAAGGTCTTCCGATATCCTATTCCCTTCCTCTCTGATTTCACAAGAAATTTATCTTTTCCCTCTGCTCAAACTTAGTTCCTCAACACTCACTTCAAAAACATTTAAGGGGCCGGCATTGTGGGGTAGCTCATAAAGCCTCCGCTGTAACTCAGGCATCACATATGGGTGCTGGTTTGAGACCCAGTTGCTCCACTTCCAACCCAGCTCCCTACTAATGTGATTGGAAAAGCAGTGGAAGATGGCCCAAGTGCTTGGGCCCCTGCACCCATATGGGAGACCCGGATGACGCTCCTGGCACCTGAGTTCAGCCTGGCCCAGCCCTGGCTGTTACAGCCATGTAGGGAATGAACCAGGGAAGGAAAATCTCTGTCTCTTCCTTTTTCTGTGTAACTCTTTCAAATAAATAAATAAATCTTAAGAAAAAACTTTTAAAATTACAACCCCTTTAACTTAGAGTGGTCTGTATTCATGGGATATATTTATACTTCAGGACTGCATACAAACTTATAAACATAACTTTCACTATGTATGTGGGGGGGGGGGCATGAGCACATGAGTACTGTTCCCTTTAATTCAGTTTTAATTGCTGAATCATATGCCCTAATGAGCATTATCAAGACAAAGTTTCTGGGCCATAGTATCAAAATAAAAGTTACCAAACACTGGGATTCATTTTTCAGCTGTAAAGAAATTGTATTTCAGCTACAATGTAACAATAAACAATAGAATACTTAAAGGAAAAATAATATTAAGCAGTCTTTTTTAGTGACTAGAACTGTTCTTAGTATACTTGAAAGTGAAAAAAGTATCACACAGGTATCTTAAAATGTATTCATGAAAGTTAAACATATGAAAGAAGAATGATAGGAAAAAAACAGTTGTGTATCACAAATCAATATCTCATAAAATGTAATCTATTATGTATTAAATGATGTAAATTTTTATCCTCAAAAAAAAAAAAAAAAAAAAAAAAAAACTCTGTTTTTACCACCGGAAAATTTAAAAACTTTTATCTCAGAATTGGAGACATGGCTTCAAATTACAGTTGATAATTTACTTATAAGCATAAAAATAAAAGATAATAGAGTCCAATATTCCTTTTATTAAATACTGTGACATAGAAATGAGAAAATAATACAAAGACGATGTAAAAGCTGCCATGTTCTACTCATCTTTAGAAACGCTTTTACCTGAGGGAGCAGCTGGATTGTTTTGGTGGTTTTCACTGGCAGAAACAAACAAATCTTCTTCTCCTTCAGTTGATGAACTGGAAGAGGATTCACTGCTGAGGTCATTCTCGCTGGAACTACTGGAACTTGGAAGCAAGGCATATTTTCTTCGGGCTAACACTTCCCGTTTCTTCCTCTGCATTAATATCCTCTCTTTTTGCTTCTGTGTCCTCTGTGAGGAATTATTTTTTACAAATCTTTTTCTGCATGGGAGTCTCCTTAATGAATTGCTATGAAAACAAGGTCTTTTCATTAATAATCCTGATACAGATTCTGTCTCAGTCCGAGGCCACTTCTGGGACCGTGCACTATGACTTCTGCTTTTAGCATTCAAAATGGTTTGGGAATGCCTTACAGAAACTTCTTTGTCCTCATCGGACGTCACAGTATCAGAATCTCCAAAATGCAGACTAGATGAAGGAGAAGAAAGGCAATCACTAAAGGAGGAATCATTATCTTCATCACTTGGTGGCTCTAGGTGTTGCCGCAATCCTAATACTCCCTGGTTCTCCTTAACACAATCCTGCATGTAAGAAGGACCAGCCTGCTGGCTTTTGCGTTTTTTCCTTACAGCACGTTTTTCTTGTTCTTGTTGGTTACTATTCATATCCTTCTCTTGTTTTTGAGTATCATCACACAAGTGAGAGAATTCATTCCCCACTTTATTATTTATCATTTCAACTCCTGCAGGAAAACTTTTGGCTGCCCCAATGGGCTCTGGATGCAAAAGGATCCCTTTCAGACTCTCTTGTGTCTTTGGTGCATCAGATGGAATCTCACTCTTCATATCCACTTTTAAAGTATAGAGCTCGTTATATTCATGAGTCCATTGAGACATGAGAAACTCTGAGGAAGGCCTAAAATATAGAATTAGATAGAAAAAACATTTTAGTGTTTTATTAGATTATTTCATTGAAGAGTACTCATACTCTTAACATATTTGGTCAAAATTGAGTAATTTCTCCAAAACCTACTATAGCAAAAATAAAAGGATTAGAATTCAAAAGACATGTCCTGATAGGACATTTTAAAGTGTGAATTTAAATGCTTTCTGTACATCTAGATGGTTACTACAAATAATGAATTATATAGCTTCTTTTTCTTACAGTTGTTTCCTTAATACTACTATATTCTCCAATGAGAATCTGAATTTCGGGCTAGTGCTGTGGTGATGCAGGTAAAGCCATTGCCTGCAGCACCGAAACCCCATATGGGCACTCATTCGAGTCTGGCCTGCTCCACTTCTGATCCAGCTTCCTGTTAATGTACCTGGGAAAGCAGGGAAAGATGGCCCAAGTCCTTGGGACCCTGCATCCACATGGAAGACTCAGAAGAAGTTCCTGGCTCCTGGCTTCCAACTGGCCCAGCCCTGGCCATTGCAGCCATTTATGGAGTGACCCAGCAGATGGAAGACTTCTCTCTCTTTCTGCCTCTGCCTCTCCCTGTCTGTAACTGACTTTCAAATAAATAATAAATCTATTAAAAAAGAAACGGACTTATCCTGATAGACAGTAGGCACAAGTATTACATCAAAAACTGTGAGTTACTGAAAATCATTCAGTTAAATAAGCAGTACAGCAAAATATAAAATCAAACCTCCTACAGTTCATTTAACTACATCTAAATCATTCAACTTCCGACATTGAGTTCTTGAACAAAGTGAATTTCAATACTGATATCAACGCAATGTACTTGTAAGAATGTTGATAGGGGCCAGCGCCATGGCTCACTTGGCTAATCCTCTGCCTGCGGCGCTGGAATCCCATGTGGGCCCCGGGTTGCAGTCCCGGTTGCTCCTCTTCCAGGCCAGCTCTCTGCTGTGGCCCGGGAAGGCAGTGGAGGATGGCCCAAGTGCTTGGGCCCTGCACCCACATGAGAGACCAGGAAGAAGCACCTGGCTCCTGGCTTCGGATCAGCGCAGCGCGCCAGCTGTAGTGGCCATTTGGGGGTTGAACCAAGAGAAGGAAGACCTTTCTCTCTGTCTCTCCCTCTCACTGTCTGTAACTCTACCTGTCAAATAAATAAAATTAAAAAGCTTTAAAAAAAAAAAAAAAAAAGAATGCCGATAAATGCCATGACCCAAATGACATGACGTAAAATGAAACATATTCATCAGAAAGACAGTTAAGGTCATAAATGAAGAGCTTTTTATAAGGATTTATTTATTTATTTAATTGAATGTCAGAGTTAGAATGAGAGGGAGACAGAGAGAGAGAAAGAGAGATCTTCCACTCACTAGTTCAATTCCAAAATGGCTGCAATGATCAGGGATGGGCCAGGCTGAAGCCAGGAGCCAGTTTTATCTGGGTCTCCCACATGAGTGCAAGGGCACAAGCACCAGGTCATCCTCGGCTGCTTTCCCAGGCGTGTTAGCAAGGAGCTGGATTTGAAGTGGGGCAATTGAGACTCTGAACTGGCGCACGTATGGGATGCTGGCGCTGCAGATGGTAGCTTTAACCTGTTCTGCCACCGAGTCAGTCCCAATGAAGAGCTTTACTAGCGTAAACCATGAATATCTAAAAAAAACCAGTTAACATATGTTGAACTTTTTTATTAAGTATAACGCACATGCATACATTCTAAGTTTATAGGTTGAGGAAGTCTCACAACATGAACACATTTATGTCACTAGCACTCAGATCAAGAAACATTAACCAGCACTCTGAAATCCTCTTCCCATAACTATGACCCACCAAGAGTTGTATTCCCAATCCTAACTTCCACCTAACACCATAGAATTGTTTGGCCCTTAACATACATTTTAAACCACTTCCTAAAAAGAGGAAAGGAGATTTCAATAGCATGTTTTCCCCCTCTTCACAAATGATAATTATAAATGAACTCACAGGTCTCTCACTTTTAGTTTATATCTTTTTTATCAGAACAAATGAAAGCAACTAAAAAGTAGAATAGCCTAATCCTACTGAAAGCTACCAAAATCCCTGTTTTCTATTGTTCTTATTTAGAAAGACAGGCAGGCTGTATCCTGAATCAGCCATCAAGCCTTGTCTGGAGTTCAAGCAACATCAGTGGTAAAGCAGGAACACAAAGATGAAAGAAAATAGGGAGGACATGGCGGTGAGCCAATTATAGTAGGCATCTAGTCAAACAACAATCATCACAAAGGCAAGAAATCACAAGTCACGATGGTAAGGTACAGGTACATGTCACATAACAGTTAAGAAGGACCTGGGGCCAATGTTGTAGCACAGCGGGTTAAACCACCACCTGCAATGCTGGCATCCCATACAGGCACCAGTTCATGTCCCAGCCGCTCTACTTCCAATCCAGCTCTCTGCTAATGCATCTGTGAAAGCAGTAGAAGATGGCCCCAGGTACTTGAGTCCCCACCACCAACACAGGATAACCAGATGAAGCTCCTGGCTTCAGCTCAGCCCAGCCCCAGCCATTGTGGCCATTTGGGGAGTGAACAGCAGATGGAAGAGCTTTCTCTCCCTCTCTAACTCTTTCAAATAAATAAATAAATCTTGAAGGGGTGAAAAAAAAAAAGTTTGCCCATACAATAGCAAAAACAAACACACACCAAAAAACAGAAGGGGCTGGAATTGTGGTACAGCACAGTAAGCTGCTGCCTGTGGCACCTGAATTCCATATATATACTGGTTCGTTTCCTGGCTGCTCTACTTCTGAACTAGCTCCCTGTTAATGCACCTGGAAAAGCAGCAAAGGATGGCCCGGATGCTTGGGCCCCTGCACCCACAGGGGAGATCAGGAAGCGGTTCCTGGCTCCTGGCAACAGTCTGGCACAGCTTTGGCCATTGTAGCCACTTGGAGAGTGAATTGGTGGATGGGAGATCGATCTCTCTCTTTCTCTGTCTCTCCCTCTCTGTAACTCTTTCAAATAAATAAATAAATCTTAAAAAAAAAATACAGACAACAAATGTTGAAGATGTAAATAAACTGGAACACTCATGTATTACTAGTAAGAAATAAAATGGTGGGAGCCGGTGCTATGGTGTAGCAGGTAAAGCTGCCGCCTCAATGCTGGCATCCCATATGGGCACCGGTTCGAGTCTCGGCTGCTCCACTTCCAATCCAGCTCTCTGCTATGGCCTGGGAAAGCAGTATAAGATGGCACAAGTCTTTGGGCCCCTGCACCCACATGGGAGACCTGGAAGAAGCTCCTGGCTGAAAGTGAATAAACTATTGAAGAAATCTAGGGCGCCAGCATTGTAGTGAAGTGGGTAAAGCTGTCAGATATAACACCAGCATCCTATGGGCACCAGTTCAAGTTCTGGCTGCTCCTCTTCTGATCCAGCTCCCTGCTAATGGCCTGAGAAAAGCAGTGAAGATGGCCCAGATGCTTGGGCCCCTGCTACTCATTTGGGAGACCTGGATGAAGCTCCTGGTTCCTAGTGTCAGCCTGGCTCAGCCCTGGCAATTAAGTCCACTTGTGGAAGGCAACCAGTGGAAGGAAAATCTCTGTCTCTCTGACTTTCAAATAAATCTTAAAAAAAAAAAAGGAAAAAGACTCAAGCTACAACATGGATGAGCATTATGCTTATCAGTCACAAAGACTATATAATGATTATTTTTATATGAAAATATAAAACAGACCAGGCACATTTGTAAAGATAACAAGTAGATTAATGGTTGCCCAGGGCTGGGGATGATAGGAAGATTAGAGTATGATGGCAAAAAGTATAGGGTTTACTTTCAGTGACCTGAAAATGTTCTAAAATTGATTGTAATGATGGCTGCACAACTCTGAATACATTAAAAACCACTAAAATTCTATCTCAATAAACTGTTGCTAAAACATCAAGAGAGGGAGTCTTAAAGACTTCTGACCATAGATAACTATAAGCACCATCAACAATAGAAGAGCCAGGATGTCCTCTGGAAAGATTTGGTGTTCTTCCAGAAGCCCATAGCTCTGAGGAGCTATATTGAGTTGGATCTCTGAGGAGATAATCTTTTATTTGCTAAAGAAAAAAAATGTTTTAGACTCTTCAACCTTAATTACTGAGTCTTGCTTTGGGTCTTGGTAATAGAGCAATGCAAACATGCCAAAAGGACAGATAAATTCTGAGAACAGGGGTCCATAAATGAATTCACAAAGAAGTGATTCACAGCAAACTTCACTAAACACAGTTTCTCTGCCATCACTTTATGCCTCAAAGCCAAAATAATGAACTCTATGGTTAAATCTGTTGTGATTTTTGGGATGAGGGATGGTAAGGAGGAACAGGGCTGTGGTGTATGGTGGGGTGGTGTGTGTGTGTGTGTGTGTGTATGTGTATACTCTGGTAACTGTTCTCTTACCATGTCATGCAGTCATTAAATGTGAAATTAACATTCCATATTAACTATGAAGTTCTCATCAAAGGAGTACAAATTCATACTGTATTTTGAACTGAGAAAAATAAGTAAATTCATAAAAAAGAAAAAAGAAACACCAGTGCTGAATTTTTTAACTAAGGGAAACATCAAAATAACACAAGATCAAAAGAATATTCTGAACTATTTGCCGTTTGATAAATCAACTTAGTCTTTTATTCCTGTCAAAACAGGGACAAGCTTTTGACCTAGTGGTTAAGATACTACTTGGGATGCTTACATCCCTATGGAAGTGTCTACATTCAAGTCCTAGCTCTGCTCTCAAGTCTACCTTCCTGTAACGCGTACCCTGAGAGGCAGCAGTTTGGGTCAAGTACCTGCATCTCTGCCATCCATTTGGGAGACCTGGACTGGGTTTTCTGGCTCCCAGCTTTAGCTTGGCCCATCCTCAGCCATTACAGGCAACTGGGGAAGTGATCCGGCAGATATAAGCACATGCATGCATTCATGAGCTCTCTAACACATACACTTTTAAAGCTAAAAGAATTAACTCCACACAGGAGGGGAAAAAAAAGGAAATCCAAACACTTAACATACCACCAAAGGAGAAATATTATACAATCCTATTTATATGAAGCACCAAGAACAGTCAAATTCAAGTATAATGGTGGTTGTGAGGGGCTGGGATGAGAGAACAGAAGTTAATGTTTAATGGGTATACAGTTTCAGTTGAGGAAAATGAGAAAGTTCTGGAGATAAATGGCAATGATGGTTGAACAACAAAGTGAAAGTACTTACTGCCAAAGTGTACAGCTAAAAATGGCTAAAATGGTAAATTTTATATTATGTATATTTTACCATCAAAAGTTTAAAAAATCCTTGCAGCATGTAATTCTATTGTGGCATCTGTTTTCCAAATGATGGAGCCTAACACACAATCCCTTTAAAGAACTACTCTCTTCCCCATCATTCAGTATCACACTCTGTTTTTTGTAAAGTACCTGCCACTAGTTGAAATTAACTTGTTAGCCTGTTACTTTAACAAGTCCATTCACTGGAATGAATACAAAGCTAGAACCACATTAACCCTGGTTACTCTGATCTCTGCCAACTAAAATAGTTGTCTGGCACATAGAAGACACTCAATGAATAAATTTTTTTTAGATTTATTTATTTATTTGAAAGTCAGAGTTACACAGAGAGAAGGAGAGGCAGAGAGAGAGAGAGAGAGAGAGAAAGAGAGAGAGGTCTTCCATCCACTGGTTCACCCCCCAATTGGCTGCAACGGCTAGAGCTGCACCAATCCAAAGCCAGGAGTCAGGCGCCTCCTCTGGGTCTCCCACATGGGTGCAGGGGCCCAAGGACTTGGGCCATCTTCTACTGTTTTCCCAGGCCACAGCAGAGAGCTGGACCAGAAGTGGAGCAGCCGGGTCTCAAACCGGTGCCCATATGGGATGCCGGAGCTTCAGGCCAGGGTATTAACCCGCTGTGCCACAGCACCAGCCCCCTCAATGAATTTTTTTAATTGCATTAATCAGTAAAACAACAGGTTAAGAGGATGGTATGGTTAGCTAAGCATAAGCTGATATCATAGGAAATTAAAATATACAGAATAAGAATTTTTTTTTTTTTTGACAGGCAGAGTGGACAGTGAGAGAGACAGACAGAGAGAAAGGTCTTCCTTTGCCGTTGGTTCACCCTCCAATGGCTGCCACGGCCGGCGCGCTGCGGCCGGCGCACCGCGCTGATCCGATGGCAGGAGCCAGGTACTTATCCTGGTCTCCCATGGGGTGCAGGGCCCAAGCACTTGGGCCATCCTCCTCTGCACTCCCTGGCCACAGCAGAGAGCTGGATTGGAAGAGGGGCAACCGGGACAGAATCCGGCGCCCCGACCGGGACTAGAACCCGGTGTGCCGGCGCTGCTAGTCGGAGGATTAGCCTAGTGAGCCGCGGCAACCAAGTCAATAATGTCTAACATTTTTTGAACATTTATTGTCACTCAATTTATAGTTTCAGGAACCCTGAAGCCACAGAGACAGTTATTTTACAGTTAGGGGTCCATTGGGCCCTTAAAATAGAGAAGCTGAGCATTAAAGAGAATAGTAAGGAAACATGAAAATTTCTCCTCTATAAAACAGATAAACTGGGGCTAGTGTTGTGGTACTGCAGATTGAGCTGCAGCTTGTGACACTGGAATCCCTAATGAGTGTGTGTGTTTGAGTCCCAGCTACTTCACTTCTGTTCCAGCTCCTTGCTAATGTGCCTGTGAAAGCAGCAGGAGATGCCCCCACCCACCATGTGGGAGACCCAGATAAGCTCCTGGCTTCAGCTTGACCTGGCCCCAGCTGATGTGGCCAGCAGCAGATGGAAATTCTCTATTTCTCAGTCTCTCTAATTCTGCCTTTTAAAATAAATATATATTTTAAATAAAGTAAAATTGGTAAACTGATCTACATACCGCTGCTTGATTCTTAAATAAAGTAAAATTGGTAAACTGATCTACATACCGCTGCTTGATTCATACTAAGTATTAGGTAAAAAAAATGGCTGCATCTTCTAGAAAGCATATAGAGACCACTTTTGGGGGCTGGTGCTGTGGCATAGCAGGTAAAGCCTTGACCTGCAGTGTCAGCATCCCATATGGGTGCTAGTTCGAGTCCCCACTGCTCCCAGCTAATGCGCCAGGGAAAGTGGTGGAAGGCCCAAGTACTTTAGCCCCTGCACTACATGGGAGAACTGGAAGAAGCTCCTGGCTTCAGATTGGCACAGCTCAGGCTGTTGCAGTCATTTAGGGAGTAAACCAGAGGATGGATGACCTCTCTCTCTCTCTCTCTCTCTCTCTTTCTGCCTCTGCCTTTCAAATAAATAAATCTAAAAAGAAAGAAAAAAGAAAAAAAGGAACACTTTTCATGTCCCTGAGGGTCTCAAGCCTCAAGCCTCAAGGTTAAAAAAAAAATCTTCAAATCAGAGAACCAGTTGGATTCAGCTCACTCACAGACATGTTTTATTTAGCATGCACAATTCAGAAGAAAAAAAAAAATTGATGGTTAGTGTTAAAACACTATGGGCATTCTCATTAGAGGCAGAAAAGGTTGCTATTTAACATGCACTGCAAAGGTTAGTTAAATCATTCAAACAAGAGAATGAATCAAAGAGAAGGTAGTATTATTTCAATATACGCAGGTAAGACTGACAGGAAAACCATTGAAAACAGGCCAGTTATGTGAATGTTTATCACAATACTACTCCAAAAATCAGTGACTTTGCTTTCCAAGGATGGAGAGCCCTTTTTCTGTCAAAGGCCATTTGGATATGTATAACATTATCTGCGGACCATACAAAATTATCAACCTAAAAATTAGCCTGCTATAGATTTGCTGAATTTTGCATTCCACCTACTATTGCCTCAGCAGGGCCAGACCAAATGACTTCACAGATATTAAACAGCCTACAAACAGGACATTCCTCACTGCTGCTTTACACAGTAGCCCCTGAACCCACATGGGAGACTCAGAAGTACCTGGTTTCTGGCTGCAGCCTGGCCCAGCCCTGGCCTTTGTGACCATTTGAGGAGTGAACCAGAAAATAGAAGGAAGACTCTTCTCTTTCTCTCTCTCTCTCTCTCTCTCTCTCTCTCTCTCTGCCTCTGCCTCTGCTTCTGCTTCTGCTTCTGCTTCTGCTTCTCCCTCTCTGTACCCTCTTTCAAAAAAATAAAATCATTTAAAATAAAATAAAATAAAAATATCCAAAGTTTACTACCATTCACTCTAGCACTAAAAATTAGATCTGAGTGTCAGTCCTCACTCTGCTCCTGACTGGCTATATAAACTTGAATAAACTAGTTAAAACCCTGTGAAACAGTTTCCAGTCTACAAAATAAGGATAACAATAGTACCTACCTCATAAAATTGCCATAGGGCTAAATGCAAGTACTTGTTAGAGAATATGGCATAATGGCTGTTATTAATTACTTTCCTAAAGAAACAGGTACATGCATAATGCATTTAACATTTACGATCCTCAATTTTTTAATTTAAAAATTAAATTTAGGGGCTCACATTGTGGCGTAGCACATAAAGCTACCACCTGCAATGGCATCCCCTATGGTCACGAGTTCATGTCCAGGCTGCTCCATTTCCAATCTAGTTCCCTGCTAATGGCCTGGGGAAAGCAACAGATGATAGCCCAAGTGTTTGGGCCCCTGCCACCCATGTAGTAGAACCCAT